GTTGGGGTAGGCTTCTGTTTTTGTCTTTCCAGGATAATGGAAATACCCATCTTCCAAAAATCATAAGGCCTTGGATATCCGGATGTTTACAGCAGAAAGAAAGAATCTATTGGTACCAATCTACACACGGTAAAATCTCACTGTCTAACATCTATCTCTCTATCAATCTAGAAAAGTTGTGGTTCCAATTCAATTATAAGCCAAGCTGGCTTTGGAGATGGAATTGGCTCACTCCTTCCCTAAACCCAAGCACATTGCTAAAAGAAAAGTCTGAGAGATTCTTCAGTCCCATATCAGAAGAGCCCTCTAGTGTGGGACAGAAGGAAACCAATAAAAAGGGACCATTGTCTTCTAGATTCTAATTCTCTCCATGCTTACTCTTGATTTCTCAGAATCCTTTCTTACATGCTATGTCCTCTTTAAATCCAAATCTTCCATTTTGATAACAAATAAGTTTTTCTAATAGCAATCTCAGAAGTCTCCAGAAGGAAGATGGGGCCCCAACAACAACTCTACCCAATCCAGAATGATGCCATGGTAATCATCATCATACTACACTTCTTACCAGAATTTCAGACAATCTTATCCATTACTCTAAGACTTGCTGCAGAACCTACAGTTAGTCTAACTGAGATTTAACTATCTGAGCTTTCTCACAGTACCCAACAGAGATAACATCACCTCCTAAACAGCAGGAAGCAATTCTAAGAAAACGACGCCCCTTCTCCCTTAGGTTTCATAATTCTCAGGGTTATGGATGATGGTTATAGGGTTGGGGGTGGAAGAAAATATTAAACTCAGTATTCTTAAAAAAAAAAAAGAGAGAGAGAAAAGGGAAAAGAAGAAATGGAATGGATAGGTATAAGTTATTATGGTAGATTATTGTGTATACTAGTAAACAAATTTAGTAAAATAGCAGCCTTAAATAATTTGCACTGTAATTTGCACTGTTATGGATTCTTATATGTTGATACAAATGTAAACTATTTTTATATTCCTGTTTAAGATAATTTGTATATTGATACAAATACAGAACTATATTTGTTATAATGTACATATATTTCTACTCTTATTTGAAATATTTGTATATTGATACAAATGTAAATTTATATCAGTCATCCTTTATGTATGTTCTACTTCTGTTTAGGATATTCGGTATATTGATATATATTTAAGATTATTGTCATATTGCATATCACACTACATACTCCTACCTCTGTTATAAATATCGATATATATTTAAGACTATTGTCATATTGCAATCGCACTATATACTCCTACCTCTGTTATAACATCTTGTGTATTGTCACAATTTTGAAGTCATCGTTCTTTACCATACACTTGCTTATAGACTGTTTACCTTGTTTACGTGAAGCCTTAGTCCTTAGGTTATTTCGGTAGATAAGACTTATAGATTTATAGTCACCTATGTTTGTCATCTCTATAGTTACGTTAGTTAGGTTATCCAGATTTACAGATACATAGATCAGATAGACAGGTAATCTTCAAACACTTCATAGACCTAGAGAAAATGGCATTTAAATAACTTAGAATTCTGTTGACGTGAGACACAATTGCTCCTGGCTGCACCAATTTGATCCCCAGAGAATGTTGGGCTTCTAAGACATTTCCATTTGGAAGTTTGTCTTCTTGGCACAAAATGGCCTACTGGGCAAAGAACTGCCCTTGCCTCGACGGCTGACAGTACAAATGCAATGCTGTCCTTTCTGGACAAGCGGGACACAAGGAAAGCGACCACTGTACTCTGGCAAGACAGGGTAAGATGGTCTTTCAGAATTCCTGCTTCTGAAAATGGTCTGTCAGATACTTTAGGCCTGTAGCCAATTTGAATGCACCAACAATGCTGAGAAACATTAGGTGACTGTCCAGGCTGCCAGCTGTCTCGGTCTACTCTTGCAAGATTCCTGAAAGTTGCTTGCATCCATCTACCATTTCTCAGGTACCATTATATTCCTTCTCAGGTCTTTGATGGGATTGAAGACTAGTAGTTATAGTTACAACTTAGTAGATAGAACATATTAAGTATTAGATTCAGGTTCTTTAGGATAGGACACCTTTTGGAATGATCTTTGTAACATGCCATTTACCTATGCTCTATACTTCTCTGGATTTTAGTATGTGTTTCTTGCTTGATATTGCTTGCATTAGTTGTAGTTCCATCTTATCTAGGTCATTATCCCTCATTATTCCTGGACAATATTTGATAACCATTCCTTTGTATATAGTCTTGTATTAGGTTAGAACCTTCTTATTTAGACAAAAAGGGGGAGATGTAGTGGGTAGCCATTCCAGCTTTGATCTGGAAGTTCCAACCCCCATTGAGACTTCGGCAACTGTCACGCCTACAAGGCGGGGCCAAGGGAGGCCCCTGGAGACCTGAGATCTGGATGGGCGGTGCACTCGCTCAGTTCCTGGACCTTGGACGGTGAAGGTGGGTCAAGCAGAGCTCCAGAGAACACTGCTGGACTGCGATACACCTTCCCCAGACCCCGCGACCTACCTATCCCTTAACTTGTAAGTTACGCCATTAAATAAATCTTCTTTTAACTACGTGGAGTGGCCTTTATAATTTCACCAATACACAACTGCTCTTTTCTTTCCTTCCCTGGAGTGTCTAATACTATACACAGTTCTTACTCTTGGGGTCTTGTTGGGCTTTGGTTCTTTATATAGGGTCTCTCTATGGAGCCCTGGTTGACCTGCAACTCACTATGTAGACCAGGCTGACTGCAAACTCACAGAGCACGATTCTTATTTCAACTACTCTGAAAATTTAAAGTTTTCAAAATAAAAAGTTGAGAAAGGAAAGGGAACCCTTTTCTAAACATTAATCTCACTTTAAGAATGAAGGCAGCGGAATATGTTTGAAGGCTCCAGAGAAGAGGAAGAAGCCAAAGAAACCATATACACCAGGTTTTAAGGCCAGTGCTTATGCCAGAAACCATACCAGCTAACAGCCTCACACCCCCTTATCTGCTCTGAAGTTAAGTCCTGGCCATACAGCTTGTTCTGGTCAGGAACGTGTGCAAACCCTCCACCTGCCCTCCTACTGAGAGCTCACACTGGAGTGAAATTCACCAGTCTGTGGCCTTCAGTCCTTCCAGTCCTGAGCATGATGTGTGCTCAACATTCAGCAGGAGCAAGGCTTAACTTCTTCCTTTGGCAAACCACTACATCAGATAAAGTCAGGTTAACAGATGTCCTCTCCATCATGAAGCTAAAATGAGAATTTAAAAACTGCTTTCTTTCTGAGTAATGCTTCAGGATAAAACAAGCACCAGACTTCAGAAACTGACACTGGAAAAGCCAGGTTTGATACCAGATATAAAACTAAGGCAAGAGCCTCATATACAGTACATTCCCAAGATACCAACTACTCCATCTATATGTGTCACTTAAGAATTCTACACAGTAAAAATATGGATACAAGCATAAAGCTAAAACAACTGTTTTCCATGATACGGACATAGCTAAGACGTAGGAGTTCCCTTTTCCTTAAGTTATTCTATTTCAATTTTTAATATAGAGTATGTTAATATTCAAGTTATAAAAACAATCTTTTGGGGGCTGGAAAGATGGCCCAGTGAGTAGAAGAGCTTGGATCCCCACAGCTACATAACTTGCTGGGCATGGTTGCACACGCAGCTGTGACCCTGCACTGAAGGGGATGGAGACGGGACCACTGGGGCTTACTGGCCTCTAGTCTGTCTGAAAACATATGACCTCCGGTTCAGAGCTTGACTTAAAGGAATAAGACATAGTAACAGGGCACTCAATGCCTCCTGTCTCTACAAGTGTGCAACTTGAGCACACACACCACACTCACACATCACACGCACTCATCACATACACAAAATGGTTTAAAGAAAAAAACACAATTCCTTTTAAAGAGAGCACTTAGAGAGCTGGGGGTATGTGCCATTGCTACATAAGCATGAGACCCTGAGTTCTATCCCAGAACCCACAGTTAAAAGCTGAGCACGGAGGCACACACATGCCCCAGTGATGAGGTCTCGAGACAGGCTGGTACTTGGTGCTCACTGGTCAGCTAACCTAGTCTATGTGTTGAGCTCTAGAAAAGCCGTCTCAAAAAAAGAAAGAAAAATGGTGGTTAAAGCAGGTTACTGTGAAGCACATCTGTATTAACAGTGCTCGCTCGGGAGGCAGAGCCAGAAGATCCTAAGTTCCGGCTCAGCATGGACTATCTGAATTCCAAGTCAGCCTGGGGTAAACAATAAGACCTATCTCAAGCAAACTAACAAAAAGAACACTCTTTAGTACCATTTGCAATATTTCACAAAGCATCCCTGCTGACATTATTCTAGTCATAATATAGTGTTTCTAGTCCTGACCAGACAATTCTAGTCTATAATAGTGTTTCTCTATATAGCTTTGCACCTTTCCTGGAACTCACTCTCTAGCCCAGGCTGGCCTCGAACTCACAGAGATGTGCCTGCCTCTGCCTCCCGAGCGCTGAGATTAAAGGCGTGCGCCATCAACGCCCAGTCCATGTTTCATTATTCTTACTGTAAATGTATTTTATTTTTAAAATATTTTGATATTTGCTATTTTCAAAGAAAAATTTGATCCTTTTTATATGAACTAGAATTGCTTCATTTTTTTTCTCATTGATGTAAATAATCACACCTCAGTATTACTTATGAAGACACATGTTCTTCCAAACTCTCTGAAATGTTTCTATTTGGAAAAGCTTAAAGCCACTCAGCAGACAGTTCTGAAGCACACTCTCCTGAGAAGAGGGGAACTGCTCTGTTCAGACACACAGGTATCTGAAATGGGTTCACAGTCAGCCTCAGGCTTGTGGATGGACAGCACCACTGGCAGTGTCGTCCACAGATGTCTTCTTGAGGTGTCCAACAATAAGCTAACAGGAGGAAATATGTCCACAGATGTGATAGTTTTCCCACAGAGTAGTCACGGCACTATAAGCAAACAAAGTCACCTGAGGAGCTACTTACTATCATCCAGCGGTACTTTGCTCTGGGGGGCGGCAGCACTGGGCTTCAGGCTGTGGTAGTCCCGAGAGAGTGCAGAGATGAGGCTGGCATGATTGATAGAGCGCAGGGGCCACTGCTGCTCACTCTCAGGAAGATTTGGCCATGGAAGGAGCAAGGTGTTAGAGAGTGCACGGCAAACCAAAACCTGTGCCTGGAAGGAACCCAAAGGCATTCATCAGAGGTCAAAGGGCAAGCAAAAGCTGGTAGTCAAGATCGACTCTGCCTCAGGTCCTAGGTGTCTTTTTTTTTTAAAAGATTTATTTATTTATTTATTATGTATACAGCATGTATGACTGCAGTCCAGAAGAGGGCACCAGATCTCATTACAGATGGTTGTGAGCCACCATGTGGTTGCTGGGAATTGAACTCAGGACCTCTGGAAGAGCAGCCAGTGCTCTTAACCTCTGAGCCATCTCTCCAGCCCCTAGGTGTCTTTCTCATAGCCTGGCCATCCTCTAACTTTAAGGCACTCAGGAAGGAAAAAGAAACACAGAAGTATCCCCAAGTCTGGGTCTCAAGATACAGGGTCAGCCTCAATGAGCATAGCTAGTATTCACCCTGCTCAATCTGGCATCCGAAGCCTCACAGAGAGAGAAATCTCATTGGACAGAGTCTAGTGTGGCCTTTGATATTGCCTTCTGACCCCGAAGAAACCACTAAGAACAGGCTCACAAGGACACTCTCTTGCCATCACGTGCTCACAACATTCAGGTCTCTGAAGAACCTGCCTGTAAATTCACCCACCTCACCAACTTCCTATTCCTAACTAGTCTTAGCCTCCCGGGTTGTCTCAAACCCAGAATGAAAGTGTGTGAGAATGTCAACCCGACTGGCCTGAACCAACGAGAACACGGGGACTCTCACTGGAGGCAAATGATGGCTCTGTGCATGGACGGGGAAGAGCTTTCCCATCTCAGTCAGGATTCTGGCTGTGAGTGGGGGACAGTGGGTTGTGTTAGTGTTACCCATGGCTTTCAACTTGAATGTAAAAGCAGAAGCAGCCTCTTTTGCCTCAGCTTCCCCAGGTCTCAGCCACAGAGCTCCGGGATTCCCCGGGGAGAACGTCCTACCTTGTCTGCCAGGCGCTGGGCAGAGGCATCGATGATGCTGTTGAACACCTTCTGCACCGCAGGGATGCTGATGAGAAAAACCGGCCGCACAGTGGTGGCTACTGAGACCAGTAGGTGGCATGCAGACAGCAGCAGCTTGTCTTGGACCTAGAACAGAGACATGTGACATGTTGTTGGCTTACTGTATCTTCTGTGGAGACTGGTATTGGAGAAACTTTCCTGAGGCAGCAGCAGCTAATGACTGCCAAACTGTACCATTCACTGAGGGAGTCTGTCACGTTTCCACTGATGACTCCCAACAAGACTACCGTCTTCTATCCCACATCTATAGCTCCTGCCCTCAATCACCATCACTTCTTGTTCCTTCTTCCCAGTCACTCCTCAACTCATACACATCCATTAAACCACACGGTGTCCTTACTGGCATGCTGTCCAAGTCTTCCCTTCAAACATAGTATTCTTCAATTCCCTGCTCTGGCTCCCCGGAAGCCAAAGTCTCACTCAGCCCTTGCTTCCTGCATTTTATCTTATCAATCTCCTAGTCTCTCCTATTTCTTTTACCTCATCATGCCTAAAAAACTTGGTTCAAATCACTGGCAGCTTCAAATCCATAAAAGAAAAGTTATTGGAAAGGAGTGGTTAGAAACTGGCCTCAGCCTTGACTGTGTTAAGCACACTCTACTGATGAGCCATGCCTGCACCCAAGAAAGCTTCCGAGTAAGGGCCAAAATGAGTAGGATGGTGAAACACCACACCAAGAGTCAAGGTCTGCAGAATAATTTAGGAAGGAGGTATCATGGTAATTTCCTAGAATCACAAAATATTTCTAACCTGTAACACCATACTCTCTACTTATTCTAAGGAAATTACATAACAGGATAAACATATTCTTGAATCTATGTATTTCAGAAGTATTTATTAAAGACAGGGTCTCATGTAGCCCAGACTGGCTTTGAACTTGCTATATAGCCAAGATGACCTTGAACTTCTGATCCTACTTCTATTCCTGAATGCTGGGATTAAAGGCATGTACCACCACCACACATTTTCAAGCAGTGCTAGGGCCTGAACCCAGGGCTCCATTCACATGGGGCAAGCACCCTACTAATTGAGCTAAATTCCCAGCCCAATTTTACCTGCAAAAGAATCAACCTAAAAGTGGAGCAAGAGCTAGGTCAATTATGGAACATACTCCTGATGAGCATCAAAACTTTTTAGAAATTTATCATTACACACAGCAGGTTTACGGAAGTCAACATAGCTCCATTAGAACAGAATGTCTGGATGTGCAAAGACAGTAAGAACACCTGAACGCTGAATATACCTCATGCAAGTTAACAGTCTTCTTGGGCAAGGACTTACTAGACTGTGTCCATCTTATATAGCTATAACCTTTCCTTAGCAAGTTCTCTTCTGGAACCCCACTATAGGCCGTCTAGCATTTGTAGAAGAGTAGACATAAAGGAAGCATCCTTCTGTCCATGAGAAAGTTAAAACTCATCCTCATAAGGAAACAGCACTGGGCAGTATGAAAACTCAAGTTGCTCTCTGCTAGGAATAAACAGCAGTACCTCTAGCTATCTACAAACTCTCTGTAAAAACACAGAAGCATGTCTAGAAGGATTGCCACCAGTCCTGACCATGTTCATCCCGAGAACAATGTTGCTTCAAGGAATGAAATCAAACAACAACAAAACTTTTTAGTTAACAAAACAGAGCAGGTACTTTCACCATAAGCAAAACCCAAGTCACACCTGAACATGTGTAGACTACAACTGAAAAGGGACATAAGGACTGGCAAGGTGGTTCAGGGGAAAGGTCCTTGCCACCACAAACCAGGGCCTAGCAGAGCGAAAAAAGAGAACCAGTTTCTATCAAGTGCTCTCCGATCTCCACAGGCATGCTGTGGCATTTGTGCACGCCTGTGCACACACAAATAAATAAATGTAATAAAACAAAATTTTTAAGGAACATGAAACACAGCTGTTATCACCCAAAGTCTGGACATTGTTTTGGTTTTATGGTAAACAGGACTAAGGAAAGAACAAACAGGTACGGCATTTTCTGTCTCAAGACCTTGGTGCTGATGAGAGGTGTGATCGCATCCATGGTGGTAGAGATGAGTGTCACAAACTGCTGTGTGTTCTGTCGATGGGCTTCACTGCAATACTGTGCCAACCAATGGGAGTAGGCCTGGAGAGCAGCAAGTGACTGGGCATGCCTGCAGAAAGGAAAGAATCAGTGATCTGAGGGCCACGTGAACACAGTGGCATGAAGTTGTTTCCGTAGGGAAGAAGACAAGCACCCCATCCACTGTGCAGGGCATTCCAGGACATGGTGACAGTGTAGAAATCAACCACCTGTATATGACCACCACTGTTGAGAATACACAGGGCAGTTCCTAAATACCTACCAGATCTTAATCTTTCTGTGACACTCAAGTTTATTTAAGAAGATGACAAACGTAAGGGGAGACATGCTAACTTAAAAAATAGTAAAAAACTAACTGGGTGGTGGTGGCGGCGGCGGCGGCGGCGGCGGCGGCGGCGGCGGCGGCGGCGGCGGCGGCGGCGGCGGCGCACGCCTTTAATCCCAGCACTCGGGAGGCAGAGTCAGGCAGATCTTTGTGAGTTTGATGGGGCCAGCCTCGTCTACAGAACGAGATCCAGGACAGGCACCAAAACTACACAGAGAAACCCTGTCTTGAAAAAAAAGCAAAAGCAAAAACAAAAAAAAATAGTAAAAACTTTACAGTCTTAGCTGCAGACTACAGTCTAGATGAGTAATGGGTATTATACAGCTCTGACAGAAGATTCTAGAACGTCTCCCTCACAGTACCCATCTGCCTGGAGTGTTCAGAGTTCTGCCTGGACTTCTGCAAAGGCTGCACTGGATCACACATTAGCAAAATACACTTAAAGTTGTGACCCCCTGCACTCAAGGCTGGGGTGAGAATAAACACTCTAGGTTCCAAATCAGCCTGAACTACAAAGTGAAACCCTGTTTAAAAACACAACTAAAAGTGAGTGACCAAACAAAAACCCCAAAACATGTCGGGCACAGTGATGCATATCTTTAATCTTAGCTCTTGGAGGAAGCAGCCAGCTTATTTCTGAGTTCAAGGACAGCATGGTCTGTATAGCTAGTTCCAGGTCAGTCAGAAAATAGAAAATCCTAAAAGCTCACAACTCAGTAAGATGATAAACAACAGAGACAAGGCAGCAGCAGTCTAGTTCAAAACACTGACCACACAGCTATATACAACTTCTCCTTTTCTGCAGTCACCACTAAGCAACCTGAGTGAATATTCTGATATGACCTACATATATAGTTCCCCATGGTGTGGGCACCATTAAGACCCTTTCTTGGTCACTGTTAAACAGATGATTCTTTAAAAAAAAAAAAAAAAGGGTATGGTCAAATGGATTATTTTTACTCCAAATAGTATAAACATTGTCCTTTTTAATTGCTGATCAAGTCTAACCAGGAACACTCCCTTCAAGCCAGCTCCTGTGTGTTCTTGCATATTCCAGACACATTCGGGAACCACTTCCTTATTCACTGATTCTACATCACTCCCCAGCATCATCCTGTCCCAAAACAATACATTTTCTCAAAGGAGTTCTGGTTCCTTTTAGTGGAGAAATTACGTTGTTAGACAGCAAAGCATAAGTGTGAGGAGCAGCGTAAGTGCCACAGCTTCTAAAGACAGACATCACTTCACACTCAAACAGCATCAACAATGCCCCACATGTCACTGACATGACACAAGAGGAAAGACATCACAGGATGCAGCTACCTTGGTGCAAACACAGAATAAGAGCTTAAACAGTGAAGAGAAATTTGCCAACTCTGGTCTGTAGGATATTCTTTAAACAGTAAACTCAAGGTCTGGGGCTCCAAAGTGTCTGTCTGTCTCTTCCTTTCTTATTTAACTAGGGGCTATTCTAGATTATGGGAGACAGATTTAAAGTTGAATCATGATTAAACCTTTAGTGCGTGCGTGCGTGCGTGTGTGTGTGTGTGTGTGTGTGTGTGTGTGTGTACACTAAATATTAGCTTATAACTTTGTAAGTGCTGACAAAGGTAATACAGTTCTAGAGAACGGCCTTGTTCCTTAGGAGATAGATACCTAAAAGGATTTACAGGTGAAGTAACATGCTATATAAAGTTTATTTTCAACTCACTCAACAACAACAACAACAAAAAGTACCTAAGTGTACAAAGACACAGAAAGAAATCCTAAAAAACAAAGGCAAAGATGCCCAAACCAATTCATGACTCCAGGCTAATTAGAGTATTTTATTCTGTGGGGTTTTTTTCCTTTCCCCTTTTAAACCATATCTACAGATTTTTCAAAATCTGTAACTTTTCAAATAGTTGTTAAGAAAGAGAGGAACTAAGTAGCACAAAGTAGGAAAAACTAGAAATTCTTAATAGGCAGCTAGTTTATTTTTCATACTCAGAATCCACTGAGCAGTCCATCTTTTACTGAAGGTCTAGGTATCAAAACTAAGAAGGACAGCAAGTGAGCAAGGTCAGTGATTGGAGTCTGAGCATGCCAATTAACATAGCGCGCGCACCCACCCCCACCCCTCAGAGCTCCTGGAGGCAGAAAGGGGGGGGGGGGCTCTCAAGCCTACAAACACCCTGTGCAAGGTATCCTGATAGTGAGCCAACTGGCATCTTGCTTGGGAGCTGGTGCACAGCTTTCTCTAGTTTTCAAAGAGGAAAGTAACATGTTTTAAATAGAAAATCCTAGTAAATAACTCTCTTCCCCGCATTGATTTAATTTGCAGCTGAAGAGAACAGCTCTTTTTTGTTTTGTTTTTCTTGAGACAGGGTTTCTCTGTGACTGGGGCTGTCCTGAAACTCAGCTCTGTAGATCAGGCTGGCGTCAAACTCACAGAGATCCACCTGCCTCTGCCTCCCAAAAGCTGGGATTAAAGGCGTGCACCACTGCCACCCGGCTGCACATTTTCTATTAAAAAACAAAGTGTATTTTAGGCCTTGCACCCACACACTCCTAGTCAGCTGTGGCTGTGGTGTGGAAAGCGGCACAAATACTATGTAAATGACTGGGTATGATTATTGTATTCCAATGAAACATGTTGAAACTGCAGGTGGGCACTGGTCTGTACTCAACTCCTGCCCTAGGCCCCAAAAGACTCAGCTAAAAGACTTCCTATCTCCAAGCTGAAACAAAGCAGTTTATCTGTCTGTAAAATGCAAAACCAGAGTTGATAGTCAAGTTCCCCAGAGGGAAGTATGAAAAAGCATGAGTTTCCTCTGCCTTATTCTTTACACAAAAGGTACTCTCAAGTAACCGGGTGCTAAGCATCACGTTTCTATGGCTCTGCCCTGGCCCACTCTACACCTTCTTTTAAGTTTCTATGTGTAAGTCAGACTCTTCTGCTTACGCCTGGACACTTGTTCTATTGCATTAACTGTTACCTGATCTAGGGTAGGGAAAAAGGTCTCTCAACCCTTGCAGCTTGGTCTTCTTACCACTACTTTACAGCTGGAGGAGGTGTGTGTATGTGTGTGTGCCATGGGTCAGGATTTACCAGCCTCTGCTCTAGTCCACAGCAAGCCTCTTGGGCAGTGCAACAGGGATAAGGTCTTATTTACAGTCCCCAAATTCCATCCCTTCCAGGTCATTCTCTCATGCATTTCCCCCAATATCATACTTCATCTGAGTTTCTTGAGTCAAGCGTCAAAGTAACCTGACATTCTTATTTAATACACAGACATTTGGGCCCTGTGCCATCCTACCAAACTTAAAATCTGGAGGAAGATGTTCGAAAGCCCTTCTGTGTTCCACTTGCTTTAGAACATCTATTTTGGTTTGGACTAGCTGCTGGCTTACAGAGCTCCCACAGTCCTTACAATGTCCCCCCAATAAGGACAACTTTTGCTTGAAAACATTTGGTTTTTTGCCCTCAGTTCCTCCAGTATCTTCAGAACAGTCAAAGTCTTTGGTTACTTTTAACAATCTTTTCCAACACAACTAAGCATATGTTAAGCAAGACAATTTCTGGAAAGTCCCTAGATTGCCAGGGGACCCAGCCATGTGCTTGGTGGGTTGGGGTCTCTGCTACACTCCAGCCTCTGGGGAAGGTAAAGGGACTAAAGGTTTCCCTGATGATATAACCAATCACTCATGCCTCCATACTAACCCTGAGGGGACCAGGTGAGCTGGGGAACCTCTGAATCACAGAACACATGCAGGTTTCTGGAGTGGACTGCCCAGAAAAGACAGGAAGGCTCTGAACCCCTCGAATACCTTGCTCTGCTCATCTTATCCAGCACTCATCTCTTATAACACACCTAGATGTGTCCTGCCAAGTTCGGAGACCCACTACAGCAAACTAATCAAACTTTCGGAGGAAATGTGGGCATCCCAACTTCCAGCAATCAGTCAGAAGCACAAGAAGCAGAGCTGGGGACAACAGTTGGCACTGGAAAGGAGATGCAGAAGGGACACTCCTGGGGACTGAGCCCTCAACATGATGATACAACCAACGTTACAACTGAGGTTAATTAGAAGATATTCAGTTTCTGGGGAAGAGCACCCTGCCCCCACGATAAAAGCATCTTGTATGAAATGGTTAGTTTTTGTCTTAATCCATCAACTCTGTCAGTGAACAACCTGCCTGCAGGGCAAGAGACACACAGTTCAGGAGCTTCCATGAATCCCTGTGTACCTTTCAGCCTCCTCTTCACCATGGTGCTCACTAGTTCCTAACTTCATGGCCACACTGTTGCCTCTTGCAATGTCTACCCCACAGAGCTTCATCCTTGGTCTCTTTAGTTCAAACAATTACATTCACCCCAGACATACATCTACTGATCTGTCTTTCTAGGGTGAGAGTTCAAGAGTGTCCCTCTATCTGTGGCAGGCACTGCTGTTCGCTACAGTCAGTTCATCTGCAAGTAGGGTCAACGTCTCTTGAGAAGGCAGTCATCACACTCTACTTACACATCAATGAGGTCAGGTTTCAACACTGATGGCACAGCTGTTTCAATGTTGTACAGTTTTATCTGAGATCCATACAGAGTAACTTTGACCAACCTGTTGACAAAGGAATAGGTGAGAAAGGACATGAAGCTTGAGAGCCCAAAACAAACAAAATGGACAAGTTGCCAAAGAAAACACCAAGGTTTCAGATAATAAACAAACAAACAAACACACAAATAAAATCTGATCTCCAGTTCTTTCCAAGAAAATAGCCAGAGCTGTGCATTAAGGGTTAATTACAAGAACATTACTAAAGCATCACCACTTATATGTCAAAAAGTCTAAAAACAATGGCTGGTGAGATGGCTAAGGGTAAAAGGCACTTGCCACCAGGCCTGATCACCAGAGTTTTATCTAGGGGAACACAGTAGGCAAGAACTGACTCCTATAAGTTGTCCTTTAACCTACACACACACACACACACACACACACACACACACACAGGCATACTCACATGTACACACACAACAGAGGAAAGGTTGAAACAAAGAGTGAAAAATTACTTGTAAAATTTTCTTATTACTACATACTACCACGATTATTAATTTTAACTTTGTTGTTAAGGGAGTTAAAACTCTTAGTTATGTTTCGTTTTAAGCCAAGATGTAAATTTTTTTTTAATTCGGTATAAGCTAGGTGTGGTGGTTCCCGCCTTTAATTCCCAGCACTCAGGAGGCAGAGGCAGGTGGATCTCTATGAATTAGAGGCCAGCCTGGTCTACAGAGTGAGTTCTAGGCCATCCAGTCTACACAGTGGGACACTCTCCCAAACAAAACAAATAAGAAATTTGGTATGCAAGTAACTCAGTTCTTAGGGTTGGTTCCTTGAATGTTACCAGTGATGAGACCAGCACACGAACTATAAAGCATCAGGCTTCACATACACTTACTCAGCTGTGAACCCAACACGTCCACCTGACCCACCTTCAGAGTCCAAGATGTTTAGGGGGAGGATTGGGCAGCTGAATGAGATGTTTCCCAGCAAACAGCTGCATTTCTCTCCAGGGACCCAAACCATCAACAGCCTATACCTCTAACATCTGCGGCCTACACGAAAGGGGATGCTGCTGTCTAGTGGAGTCTGCCCCCTCTCTTTTTCATGCATGAATATGTATGTGCACATGTGTAAATTCATGTATGTGCATCATATATCAGTGTGGAGGACAACAACCTTGGTTGTTATTCCTCAGGCACCTTCTACCTTTATCTTTCTTCCTTCCTGTCTTCTTCTATTGTTTTGGTGGGGAGCAAGGGTCTCACTAGAGTCTACTGCATAGGAGACGCTGGCCGGCCAATAGACCCCAGGAGTCTGCCTGTCTCTGTCTCCCCAGAGCTGGGATTAGAAGTGTGTGTGTCACTGTGCCTGGGCTTCTTCTGTTTTATTTTTGTTTTTAAATGTTGGTTCTGAGGATCAAACTCAGGTCCCTCTTACTCAGTCCCAGTAGGGCTTTCCTGATGTTCCTTTATCCCATCAGAAAAGACACGGAGCTTGATTGTGCCTGGATTTTTCTGAGTCCAATACCATTTTTACAGCTACATAGAAGGTTGCCAATGACTAACAGCTTGGCTTGTGTTTACTGTTTGTTCTGTTTTATTCACCACATTAAGTAGCTTATTCAAATCTCCCAGTAAACTACAAGAAACCTTTCCCACTGTTTTACAGATGGGGGCCTTAAAGCTCAGTACATCAAATGGCAATCTGCTCCATATTAACCTATACGTGGTATAAAAGACAAGAGGACACACAACGGTGCATGCCATCCTACCCTGAAAAGGAGAGCTGAACTCTGAAGGAGGGGCTGCATGGCACAGCCAGCCTACCTCTCCACGACTGTGAGAGCATCGTTGAACCTTGCAGCAAACACATCCCCAGTGAAGTACTCGGCTAAACGGCCCACAGCCTGCAGCAGGGAGCTCAAGTCTCTCAGTGAGCAGTGCAAGCGCCGGCAGTCATTCTCCGCTGTGATGTTCAGCCTGTGTCCTGGAACACAACAGCTCTTAGTTTTCCAGAGAAGAACAAGCTTTAGTTGTAATAAACAACCATTCCAAACAAAGCAAACAGGGTAACCTAATAATGCTCCAACAATAAAAACCTTTAGGTGCTTCCCAGTACAGAAGAGCACATCTGGGGACAGCCTCCACCTACAACTTGATCTATGTTGCTCCAGGGACCCAGGGCAATGATGACAGACAGTCTGGTATATCCCCGACCTCATTCCTTCTGATACTGGTACCGTTATGACATTACCAACCTACACACAAGGACATGCAAATGGGTGAGTCCAGTACATAACATGCCCACCATGGTCCTATGTCCAGGGCAGAGCTAGTGCTCTCTGTGAGCTCTGCACTCCATCCCAGGTTTTAGGCCAACACAACAGGGAAAAAAGGGCACAGGACTCAGGTACAGTAGACAGTCCCCACTACTTTCTCACTATACCATCAACCCTTCCAAGCTTGTCTCTTCAACCTTAAAAATGGGGAAGCTACTATCACCTAATTCACTACTGAACAGAGTACATTAACACCCTACAACCTACAGGGCATAGTTAAATTCTGTGATTATTATGGATCACAATGAGTTACAATTTTCTAAGGCCTGAAACTTTCTTACTTTTCAACATATATCCAAACCTAACAAGTATGATGCTAAGATGAATGACAAAATACCCTCAATTGGTCAGGCCTTGTCTTGTGGACCAGTCTCTTGACAGACACCCACAGAACCAGAAGGCAGTCAGGACTCTCAGTCTGGAGAAAGACCAGAGTCTGACAACGTGTTTATCAAACATGGGTGATATCAAGTAGTAAGTCATAGTTAAGGCCCAGGCTAGGGCACCTGCAATCCCACACTCCCTTAGCACTTTTCAAATCTGTGTCCTCCCAGAGCCACTCCAGGCCTTCACCACCTATCACCTAACCTCCTCCCCTGGTGCTTCCTCTCCTGGCATCTGTTGTCTCCTTACTGACTTGAAACCAACAGCTAACATGGCCACCAGTCAGAATAAGTGGTCATCTGCTGCGTGTTTGCACCTTTTTCCTAAACTCAGGTCACCTGAGAATACCGTCATTCCCTGTTCCCTGGGGATCCTTGTCAACACCGACATGTGATGCATGATGGTGCAATATGAATCCCGTCAAGCATGCTTGCATCTGTGTAGCCATATGCATGACACTTTGAATAGAAAACAGCCCCGACAGGCTGTGTATTTTACACTGTGGGTTTGAATAAAATGAAATTGCTGACATTTGACCATTTTGGACTAAATAAAACTAATTCTGTCTAATTCCATTCAACACATGTTCCATCCGTGGCAGTCAAAACTGCAGATGATCCTTTCCTGAGCCCTCTGCAAGGCAAACAAAGATGCAGGAAGTACATCCAGCCCTATCCCACTCCACCAGGAAATCTGCCTCCCCACCACAGAATCGTACACAGCACGCAGGGGAAGGACTGCTGTGCAGCGACCCATGCTTTCCCCTATTTGGCCAAGGCTTGGTCGTCGGCAATCTTCGTCCCTTCACTTCACAGCCACCTGAAAGCCTACCCCATTACTGACTCCAGATCTCTCATAGGAGCCACACCCAGTAGCAAAGGACACAGAATGTCTGCGAGGTAGAACCTTTCAACGGAAATGCTACTACATACAGGATTAGACAAGCTTTTAAAGTACTCTTTCCTCACTAAACCAAGCTACCATGAAGCAGTCTAAAAAGTAGCTTCCTTGCCCGAGAGGTGAAAGGGTAGAGGTATAAATAGGAGCAATTAAGGTATTCCACTCTGAGAGAATACACAAATCAGAAAACAACCTTCACACACCAAATAACACAAATTTAAAGCTTTCTATCCTGTAAATGCAACAATCTCTTCGGTAAGAAAGCTTGCGTGACTAACTGAAAGTTGATGGGTTTCTCAGAGCTAAGGGAAAATCTCAATGAGGAACAGCAGAAGCAAATACAGAACAGGGCTGAGGAGAACAGCCAAGGCGGGGTCTCCGTCCACACAGGAGATGCTGACAGTGAGGGCAAAAGCTGACCTGTCAGGGGCATGAGGCACACAGCAGCTGAGAAGGATGTGTTTTGCCTTGCTTTTTACCAAAGCAGCATTAGCAGGAAGTTCAGCAGTAGCAAATATGCTAACAAAACAGTGCCTGGTGTGAGTGTGTACTTGGGGGGGGAGGGGGGCCAGCGCCCCGAGCTGCACAGCTACCAATCACAATACACTCAAGTGTCAGAAATAGTCAATGAAGGGGAAACTGTCCCCGGCTCCTCACCACAGCCCACCAAGAAGACTGACACCATAGCAGGGAGGTCACTTGAGGGAGCAAACACTCATGGGAACCAGGGAACAAACTACTCAACATTTTCATTTTTTCAAAGAACCTTTGCACTGGAAACTTGGCTTCCAAGCTACTAGGGCATGGAGGAATGCTTCACGATGGGCAAGGAAACTCAAATGAGTTTATTTGGCCTGAGAGCTTTCACCACGAAGTAAGCACTGAGAATGAGATAATGACCTAGAGGAGCCAAGTGCTCTGTGAAACTGGCATGAAGTGGGCTTCAGCGAGGGCAGGGAGACCTAAGACTGCCCTTCCACGTTAGGAAGCTGGGTATCAGCAATCTCAGAAAAGGATTAGAAACCCATGCAGACATTTACCCAGAGACAACCATCAATCACAGCCAGGCTTGGTGGAGTCATGCCTTAAACCCAGCACTCAGTGAGTTCTAGGGTAGCTTGGTCTACACAGCACGTGTGTGGCCTACCAGGGCTACAAAGTGATAAACCACCAACACCAACACAAGTCAACACTGAATCAATCTTATGGGTCAATGGAGGAGGGCAAGATACGCTCTTTTTAAAAACATTCTTAGGGCCTAGAGTACAATTCTAATTGCAATGGCCTTCAAAGAGAGACCACCAATTCTGGAACCATCTAGCATTTTGTATCAAATGATCTTCATTAGTGCAAACATGCATGTTCATTTTGCAAAGTGCCTTTTCAAAGTTTATATAAGATGTTCTCAGCCAGGCTACAGAGCCAGAGCCTGTACTTGAGGCATGCCAAGTCCTATCACCCTCCTGGGGACCAATGAATGAGTAATAATAGTCATAGAAACAAACTGTCCCGGGTGGCCAGGGCAGCCTCACAAAGAGGCCCCATCATGAATGGCCAGTTCACCCAGGAGGAAGCTGCTTTCTGGGTAGCTCAGACCAGACAAGAGGCTGCAGGCTAGGTCAGCATGTAGGAAAATGCTGAAGAGCAGTACACAGTGGGATAAACAAGGCAGGGTAGGGGAAGGGTGGAGTGATGCACGAACTTAAGGTTATTGGTGTTTTCACCTGGGAAAAATGAATGCCAGTTTAGGGCATCTTTCCATCACTCCCCATTATTCCATCTTGCTATTATTACAAACCGACTATGCGGCCCTGGGTCAATCAACAACTCCGAAGAGCATTATCCTCTTCTGTAAAATAACAATAACTAGTAACAATACTTCTATCTCAAAGTATGGAGAAGAAAATGGAACGTCACAGTAGACAACATGGTACCTGGCATGCAATGAGTGCTCTACAGAGAGGCTGTCATTATTATCACGCCCCTCTGGCCAGGGACTCGAAGTCTTTGCATCCAGCTGTGGGCAGAGCCTTCTGCAGACCTCTCACAGCGGAGCTCCAGAATGAATGGAGCTGCTGACCTAGTGAAAGCCCACAGCCATTTTCCTTCCAGCGCACTTGCTGTCTGAAGGAATATAAGGAAACCCTCCAGGACTTTAGTCTTAGCCCTGATTACTTCCCCCACAGCTTCTTTGTAGCAGGAAGGTCTAAAAACTTCAATTTAGAAGTTAAAGAGATGTGAAGAGAAGCTGTACAAGGCAAATCACATTATTACAGCAGAGGTGACAGTAATTAACTATTAGTCCAACTTTTTTAATGCTAAACTAAATTTGAAAGTAAAGACCAATTTACCTGACCCCGAAGTAACTACAAATTGCTGTAATCCCAAATAAACTTCTAAATTGTCCTGAAGAACTGGGAACTGAAAACAAAGAGACAAAGTTTAAAACAAAAATCATAAATGCAAGTTTTGATACTATTTTTAACATTAAAGCATTAAGTACCTATAAGGAGAAGGACAGGATCATAAACTTCCCTTTACAGGCACTAAGCACAACTCCCTTTCAGTACCCTCCCAAGTCCTACAGATCAAACCTATTAGTACCAGAACAACAAAGAAATCAAGGTCAATTTGACTGCTTTAAAAGTCATAGCAAAAGATTCTGGGGCATGACTACTACAGTCCTAAAAGGGCATCAGCTGTAACTTCAAGAGCTAGGTTGTCCATCAAGTCTGAGAAGGTCCCTGATCTTGAAAGAAATATCAAGTATGTCTTATTAATGTGCATGACAAAGAGAAAAGGCAGACGCAATGATTAGGGCATCAGTTTCCCTTGTTCATGTAGCAAACAGGACTTCATAGTGCTACCTTTCTTTCCTAGGTTGCTATATTCACCATTAAGATAAGACTTAATATAAAGCAGGTGGATCTCTGTGAGTTGGGAGTCTAGCTTGGTCTACAGAGTGAGTTCTAAGACAGCCAGGGCTACACAGGAAAACCCTGCCTCAAAAAAAAAAAAAAAAAAAACTTAAACTTGCCTAAGAAAGGCAGGTAGCAGAGTAAACGGCCACTTCCTGTGAGAGAATGCCAAGCAGTGGCTTGCAGCTATGTGCTGAAGCAGACCCCAGTAACTTAGCTTGCCTTTAAGGAGATGGAACCCAGCACATAAGTGCCGGCAGAGAGACGGAACAGTCTGCCCACAGTGGGAATGACACAGGCTAGTCTTCTATCAATGTAATTTCTGCCAGTAACATTTCTGTTGGCCTGGCTGCCTCCAAGACACTAATAAAAGCATTAAGATACTTCTAAAATTCATACTGCATCTAAGAAGAAACAGTGCTTCCAGAAGTGGGCATAAAATAGTTCATGAAAATGTTAACAGTACAGGTGGAAGTTGGTTTATGGTAATTAGTCTAGAAATAAACAAACAAAGGCCAGAGCGTTAGCTCAGCTGGTAGACTGCTCACGACACACAAGAGGACCTGAGTTCAATCCCTGGAACCCACATTAAAAAATACACAAATAAGGCTGGGTATGGTGGCACAGCTCTTACACTCCCCACTGGGGAGGCAGAGAAAAGAGGATCTCTGTGGCTGGCTGCCAGCATAGCTTATTTGATGAGTTACAGGCCACTAAGAGATTCTGTCTTAAAAAAACAAAGTAGATGGTGTGTGAGGAATATCACATGAGGCTAACCTCTACAAACATATAGGTAACAGACAAACAGAAAACACACAAACATATGCATATGAACATACACACACATACACGCACGCACGCACGCACGCACGCACGCACGCACGCACGCACGCACGCACACACGCACAGATACAGAGCATGGGAGAAGACAAAGATGGACAGATAGGTAAGTACAAAAGCCATGTTCTACGGGTCAGGAACCAGTTAGACGTCCCCTTCAAATGTGAGTTACCAGAGTTGAGAAGGCGTGTGTGGGAAGGAGTTCCATCACTTTGGCCACCACCTCCAAGCTCTGGCGTAAGTACCGCTGCCACTCTGTCTGCTGCTGTGGGGAAAAAACAAGGGTATCAGCTCTCCAGGACAGGCAGATCCCTGTCCTCTTTATCACCAGCCTCCCGTTAGCCTTAAGTCTATTCTCAGATGTTAAATTTAGAGAAAATAGAAAATGGTGGAACCATTCACATTCCAAGGTTCAGTTTAAAACAAACAGCTTCTAGCACATGCCTAACAGACTATCATTCCAGCCTTCTCATTTAAACACTCCTTGAACTATTCCTACCGGCATCCAGCTAGGTAGATAGAGAGTCCAGAGTACAGGACTCATTAAAGCAATTCTCATGCACACCTGGCCTCTCTATATTTCTAGTCCATAGAGGTAAAATGCCTGTAAAACAATTTTTCAGAAACCAGCAGGAGAGAAATGTCTCTTACATCGTCATCCAGAGTTTCATCATCCAACTCCTCCAGCTGGGCCTGGTTGTATCTGAACTGGATTCGATTCAACACCTCTGTGAGCAAGAGGACCAGGGCATCTTCGTACCTAGGGAAGAGGGAAAGAGTCAACAGCAAGTGAAAGCATACTTTCAGCTTCAGCTTTGGACCAGGCCTCCTGGACTGTAGGAGCAGTACTCACCTTGAACACACTTAAGGCCTGGTGCTTTGTTTCTGAGTTGGGACAGGCGTGTATGAGAGAAGAGGTACTGTACTATCCACACTTCTTTGTGATGCACTCTCTTCTATAGTTAAGATGGTTACTAGTTCTTGTGGTTATTGCTTGCATGGAATATCAATTTCCATCCTTTGACTTCCAACCTATCTCACTTGAATCTAAAGTGAGTTTCTTGGTAATTGGATCATGGATTTTCAAATCCATTCTGCCCATCTCTGCTTTTTAACAACAAAATCTAATCCATTATAGCTAATGTAATTATCAATAAAGTAAGTCTGATTTCTGTCATTTTTTTCTGTCAAATATATATATTTTCTAGAGCAGCATTTTAAGTCCCTTATCTTTTATTTCACTACATATGTTTCAGGTTTTTATCATTCTTTGAGGACTAGAAGCACTGTATGTAAACATCAACAATTAACACCCTTTTGTTGTTTTTCTAGACAGGGTTTCCCTGGGTAGTCCTGAAGGCCAGGCTGGCCTTGAACTCAAGAGATCCACCTGCCTCTGCATCTGAGTGCTGGGATTAAAGGTGTATGCCACCACCTCCAGATTAACCCTTCTAATAGCTACGAGAAGTAAAGTGTGAGAAAACTACAATTAAATTGCTCAAGATCAACAAGCAGGCTATTGTGAAGCCAAGACTCCCTAACTCAAGCCTCATGTTCTCTCTACGGATGTCAGACTACTAGTGGCTTTACGTCAAACCCAAAACTCAACCTTCAATTCACTTTAAGAGCACTTAGAAACTAAAGGGAAATCCTGACCCTCTGGTTTGTATCTAAAGGTAATTGATTAAAGAAATACCTTAAGCCCCACATCTGGTTACTTTCCACAATAATAACCTAGCACAGAAGATACCAAGTTATTACAGAATACTTGGTATCATGTGGGGAGAAAAAAAAATGATTATTTTCAAGAAAAGATTATGCACCTAAATGCATCCTTTCCTGAAAAGCTTCTAGGACCAGTTAAGACTCAGTTCCTACTTGCCAGCATGTGAGCAGGTGGAGGCTCCATAAAGTCCAAGTCTCCTGAGCCTCCTAGGCTGTACCACTGAGATGCTAGAGGAAGACTGCAAGGTAGAAAGAAGGGGGAAAGGCTTCAGCCTTCCCGTGGGCTTGCTCTCTGACAATGCTGACCAGCAACAGCTATCCCATGCCCCTACCCAACTTCAATACTCACCCCTTCCAATTTCATTCTACATTCCCAGCACCTATCTCATATGCATACTCAGAGGGTCAAGAGCTCCTAAAGGAATGCTTGAATGCCAGCTTCCTGGTCCTCCTCAGAGCTCCTGGGATAAGAGGTGTGGCCTACTCTTTAAAGACCTGAGCCTTCACCAGCTACATGAAACTTACTTAACCTACTGACCTCCTTCCCCTGACCCTGGCTTAGTGATGGCGCTGCTTCCTGTAGTTATCAACTGTGCTGCCTCCCTCACTGTTTCCCTAGCCTTCTAACACCTATTTAACCAACTGTCTACGCTGGAGTCTAGGTTAAAATACCTGTGGTTTCTGTTTTCCTGGTAGTACCCTAACCAGTTTGCTACCCAATCCAAGAGAGCCAAACTTGAAAGAATTAAACCAAAGTCAACTGTAGTCCATCTAGTCTAAGCATTGCCAGCCACAAGATGAAATCTCTGTAGAGACAGTCTATAGACCTCTAACAATCCTCCTGGGCTATCACAGTCTAAACATTGCCAGCCACAAGACAAGTCTCTGTAGAGACAGTCTATAGACCTCTAACAATCCTCCTGGGCTATCACATTTCAGTTATGTGGGTACAACAGCTCATTTCCTACCTATAGGCAGACACTGCCCCTTCTCCACAAGACTGAACCATTGTTTTCAAGTGATTTAACAATATAGCAAACACCAGGCCTAGAATAGAATAGCAATTGAGTATGGCACAGGAAAGAATACTGGCTGGGGAAATTACTAATAAAATTGACATGTGTGGTTAAAAAAAAAAAAAAAAATCACACTTGAGTGGATGTCCTAGGTAGATAATCAACACCCAGGCCTGGGGCTCTTTACCTCCCATTTGCTGTGACATAATCGATAAAGTTGTAGGCATTTTGTTATAAATTGCTATGTCAGATTAAAATACTCTCACAGAAAGCATATCCCTTTCAGACTAGAGCATAGATAGATTTTGCCACTGCTAAATAAACTCCATCAGGAACTGTGCTAAAAGCACACAAGTAACAGACCTCCCAAAGTGTGTGACAGGCATGAGAGGTGTGTGTGGATAGCACAGAAACCCCAGCTGCTCTATACCAATTTACCACCACCATCCCAGCCCCAAGTAAATGAACACTGGCATTGAGGACAGCTAAAACATTACATTTTCCAGTAGACACAAAGACAGTAAAGGAAATTGCTGACTCAGGTGTACTAGCTCATTTTTATGTCAACTTGACAGGCTAGAGTCATTGGGGAGATCTCTCTTAACTGACAAAATGTCCCTACCAGATGGGCCTGTAAGGAAAGCCTATGAGCATTTTCTTAATTAGTGACCGATGTAGAAGAGTCCAGCTCACTACGGGTGGTCATGGGGTGTTTAAGAAAGCAGGCTAAGCAAGTCGTAAGAGCAAGCCAGTAAGCAGCATTTCTCCATGTGTGCATCAGCTCCTGCCCTGACTTCCCTCAGTAATGGGCTGCAATGAGGAACTGTAAGCTGAAATAAACCTTTTCCTCCAAGGTTTTGGTCCTGGTGTTTTATCAGCAAGAGAAACCCTAAGGCAGTAGGGTTTCTAGGAAAGCAGTTTCGGCCCAGCCTCTCCACTTCTCATTCTCACTGCCTTAGCTCTAGATGTGGTGTCTGTAGACTCCCTCCTGCTGCCTTTCCCATAAGGAAGACAAGGTAACTGTGTGTGAGGACAGTCTATAAAGGAGCAGGAAAGGGTGAGTTGAGATCTTAACCCAGCAGCACTGCTGTCCTCCTAAGAACATAACCAGGTGCATACCTGATACCTGAGGAGGCCAAAGCATTCAGATCCCCCAGAACCCAAGTTACAATACAGATGGTTCTGAGCCACCATGAGTGCTGGGAATCAAACTCAGGTCCTCCGAAAGAGCAGTCAGTATACTTAACTGCCAAGTCATCTCTTCATCCCCTTAAGAAATTTAAAAGAACTGAAAATCATACAACTATATCCAGATAACGAAATTGAACTGGAAAACACTAACAAGGATATATAGGAAATCTCCAAATATCTGGAGATTAAACAAAGAGATTTAAAGCAAAATTCGACAATCATTTAAATTAAGTGGTATGGTGTATATATTAAACTCTGATAAAGCTGAAATAGTGCTTAGGGGGGAATTTATAACATTAAATGCACATATATTGGGCTGGGGAGATGGCTCAGCAGTTAAGAGGCCTTGCTGCTCTTGTATAGGACCTAGGTTCAGTTACCAGCATCCATATGGTAACTAACAACTGTCTGTAACTTCAGTTCCAGAGGATACGATGCTCTTCTGGCCTCCTTGGGCACCAGACATGTATGTGGTACACATACAAACAGGCCAACACTAATACACACAAAATAAAAACCTTTAAAAGAACATGTATGTGTATAAACGAAGAAAAAACCCTACTAGACACAAACTTAGCTAGATAAAACTAGCCAAATTAAAGCAGCTAGAAAGTAGGTGCCCAATAAATACAAATAAGCAAAATGAGAATATATAAGCAAGTCAACACACAGAAAATAAACAACTGATAGAAAATTCCAGATGGTGCAGTCTGGGCATAAATAATCTCCTTGTAGGGGCTAAAGAGCTACTGAAACTCTGACCTCTATCTTTTTATTAACTGCATACAATGTCATGTACGACAGCAACACTTCCTCAGTAAGCAGAACAATCCACATTCTTTTACAGTTCAATGTAATGACACTCAAAATTCCTGTGCTGCTCTGTAGCCAGCATTTGCCAGGATTCTTGTGACAAAGAGGTTCACAGGACATGATACAATAACTTAGGTTGCTTCACACACTGACTTCTTCCTCTTCCTGTAAAACCTATGTTTCTACACAAGGGCCTGACCCCTGGATGAGCCCCAAGAGACACGGGAGAACTGGCAGCGAGCACTTTCTCAGGGGCACCAACTGCCAGCCAAGGCCCCACATGCTGGTTCAGCAGGCCTCCTCCACAGTGTGAAGAAGGTAAAACCACACCCAGCACAGAGGTGCAAATGGACCCTGAGATCCAGGCTCTCTGTGCTATGATCCTAACTGATGAGCAGGACAATCAACTCTATCCACAATTCTGCTAAGCAGAGCATGATGCAGACATTTATCTTCACACTGGGCCCAAGTCCTGAAGTCCCACCAGCTCTCAGCCAGAAACTTGAACATTCTCACTGAGCAAGGAATATGCATTTTCCACCATGCTCCAGTGTTCAAGCTCCTAGATCCACAAATAAATCTGAGTACATTTGTGCTTCGAAGTCTGTAACCTGCAGTGCCACTTTGTTGTAACAAATGATGCAAAACTCTAAAACCACAAGGGACAGGAAATGAGTGCGGCCTTTGTGACTTAACCACACCTACGTTTCCCATTTGAGACACCAAGAAAACAATTTCTGACTACTTCCTATAGGTCAGTCAGTTTTGAAGTTCCGGCTTAAGCCACAAATGTGATTCCAAAAGCATGCCTGTGTTATCAGATGACAAACATTTGATCACATTTGCATGCTCACAGTTAAAGTAAGTATGGTAATTAGAAGTGCCAATGTTCTTCAGTAAACAGCTCATCTCTGATATACTAGACAGAACAGTGACTTCTAAACCTTCAAGTCCTTAACTTAAAAGCTTTACACTCAACATACTTGTAGAGATGTATAATAAAAGGGATGACATAAGCCGAAGTTCAATGTTCCTTCTTTGTACACCCCAGTTGTACAAATATGTTGGTGCTATTCTTTCTAGTTCACTCCCTCAACCACTAGAGTATTACACAAGAAAAACAGGTCCTGGGGTAGTTTCTATTTAACATAAATCAGACCAGCTTTGAGGATTTCATTTTTCTGCTTTGTGCATGTACATAGACATATTAAAAAATAAATCCCGAGGCTGGGGAGATGGCTCAGAAGTTAGGAATGGTTCTGCTCTTCTAGAGCAGCTGAGTTTGTTCCTAGCCCCCACAGGCAGTAGTTTAAAACTCCGTGTAACTCCGGTTTGGGGAGCTGACACCCTTTTCTAGCTTCTATGGGTAACTGCACACACATGGTGTACTGCTCGCTCTCGCTCTCTCTCTCATACACACATACACACACACACACACACACACACAAATGTCAAAAAATATGTAAGTCAAATGAAGAAATGGCTCGGCTGTTAAGAGCACTCACTGCTCTTGCAGAGTGAGTGAGTCCAGCTCCCAGGTGGCTCACAACTGCATGTAAGTCTAGTCCCAGGGGATCTGACATATTCTGGCGCACCCACATACACAAGCACATACTAAACACACACATAAATAAAAATAGATCTTTAAAAAAATAAGTCATGAAAAATAAAGTTTCATTTAGGAAAAATAAAACTATCAATGAGAAAAATTCCTAGCATTTAAAAGAGCCTGCAGAATTTCTAAGCATGTGTTGCCAGATGGCAGGCTGCCACGCAGGAAGGTGGATAAAAGGCCTTTAGCTGTCTGTGGTCACAGCCAAGTGGCAGCAGCATTTTACATTATTCCTTTTCATCATCATCATCACTGTGACCATTATGTGTCTATGTTTTAGATGCATGACTTCCAATATCCTAACCCTCCTGCAAGACATCCCTTGTGTAAGAAGAAATGTGACAGCCTAGCACCTGACCAAAAGGAATCCTTGAAGCAGAAGAGGAGGCAATTAAACTCTCTATAGCTCTCCTCAGAGTCACATTCTCCACACCTCCTGTTTCCACTGTGCTTTAAAGAGCATTTTCACACTAATCACTTTTCCAGGTCATCCTCAACTGAACTGCAAGATATAAAAGAGTATCTACCACTAAACATAGGAGAGTGGGGTATGAGCCCAGAACCAAAGGACTTGCCTGTTCGGCCTATAAGAAAGACATTCTGATAAAATGGCTTTTCTTTGAAGAATCTCATTCAAAAACACAATTGTCAAAGTCAGTAACCTCACCAGACCTACTATTGTGTAATAAGGTCTCTGCTGCATGGACACGCCCTCCACCCAGAACTGCATTGAAGCTGACACTAACGCAACTCAGAAGCCCTTCTGCAATCAAAAGATGTTTGCAAACAAAAGAACAAATGTTTAAACTTCCAGTGTCAGTATTCCGTTAAAATTTAAAAATCCACAACACCTTAGCAGTGAAAAGAATTCTAGAGATCTAGTACAATCTCCCTACCCAGAAAAAAAGATCCACTTCTTTCCATGCAGCATTCTCTAGGAAACTCTGGGAAAGGGTGTTCATTACCTCTACCACTATTATGGTTTGAAATATTCTGCCCTGACCCATACATGGATGATATACTGTTCAGGGGTGGGGTCTTGAGAGGTGATGGGGGGGGCATGACCTGGCAGAGTACAGCTTGTCCCTGGCCTCTTCTTCCCTCAACCATTTCTTGGCCCACCCTTCCCTGGCCACTCTGATCTGATCACCCTTGATCTACCCATACTTCCTACCACTATGCTCTGCTTCACCATGGCCCAGAAACAAAAGAACCGAGTGACCACTGCTGTGGGATGGTCTGTATGTGCTCTGATTGGTCAATAAATAAAACACTGATTGGCCAGTGGCCAGGCAGGAAGTATAGGCGGGACTAACAGAAAGGAGAATTGAGAGAACAGGAAGGAGGGAGGAGACACTGCCAGCCGCCGCCATGACAAGCAGCATGTGAAGATGCCAGTAAGCCACGAGCCACGTGGCAAGGTACAGATTTATAGAAATGGATTAATTTAAGATATAAGAACAGTTAGCAAGAAGCCTGCCACGGCCATACAGTTTGTAAGCAATATAAGCCTCTGTGTTTACTTGGTTGGGTCTGAGCGGCTGTGGGACTGGCAGGCGAGAGAGATTTGTCCTGACTGTGGGCCAGGCACGAAAACTCTAGCTACAGACCATAGGCCGAAACCTCTGAATCACGAGTCAGAGTAAACCTTTCCTCCATCCAGCAGTTTTTAATAGGGTGTTTTACTGCAGTGACAGCTGACCCGCACAGCTATACTAGCACCGTTTCCTAACCACTTAGGTATATCACACACTCTCTATGTTACTTCTTAACAACTCAAAAACTGTCACCATCAACAAAGAAACAAAATCTGCCAGAGCGAATTTCCCTAAACACAACCAATTACAAACTACAGAATGAGCTTTCAGAGCCGGGCTGCTCCAGAGGCCGTGTCCTGGTGACCCACAGAGACTGCTCTCATCCGTACTATGCCCACACAGAAGCTAAAGCCAAACCAGACACCGCCTGCAGCCTCTCGCAAGTAAGCAGTAGAGCACCTGCTTCAGTGGAGCTGACGTTCGTCTGCAAGTGCCTGTCATGAACTAGTGAACACAGTAACATTAAGAATCAGGTTGGCACAAGAGTCTACTTTTACCATGGAGAACAAAGAGAAGTTGTCGTCTTTGGGCCTACCTGTTCCATGTGGTAGAACACAGAGCACAGGAGAATATATAAAACACTATGGCTTATACTGTTAAGAAAAGCTGCCATTTAACCTTCGCTGTGAGTGGATCCTGTCACTATTGGATAGCATGCTGAACTCACGAGCTTCCCTCTTCCTTTCTCTGGCCCATGGCATAAGCATTATACTGGACAGAAAACAAGAAAAACACTTTCCATTTTCTTTATTTAAAAACTATAATTAAGAGTTGGCAGTAGTAGAGGAGACCTTTAATCCCAGCACTCAGGAAGCAAAGGCAGGTAGACCTCTGTGAGTTCAAGGCCAGCCTGTTCTACATAGTGAGTTTCAGGACAGCCAGGGCTACATAGTGAGACTCTGTCTCTCTGTCTCTCTGTCTCTCTCTGTCTCTCTCTCTCTCTGTCTCTGTCTCTGTCTCTGTCTCTCTCTCTCTCTCTCTCTCTCTCTCTCTCCCCTCTCTGCTTCCTGTCTCTGGATATAAAGGGAAGAAACTTTGATACATCTCAAAGTTTAAGGACATAATGAACCTTGAGCTCCTTCACGTCACTTATCAGCTGTGAGGTCAGCCCTGCATCCTATGTTCCAAGCACTCTATACTTCCAGTGGGTTGTTTTAAGGAAATCCCAGGTGTAATATCACTTCATCCAATAAATACTTGTTGTATCTCTAAAACTAGGGCCTTAAAGAACAACCACAAAAGCATTATCATACCTAAAAAATTTTCAATGAATGTTACTTTTTAAAAAAGAAAATGCTCAGGCGGCATTACTGCCTGGGCAGCCTCCTTGCCTCATTCTCCTGAGGAGGCACAGTAGCATGGCTGCCCCTTAGGGCATAAGAGTAAGTGGCAACAGTGGCTACCTCTGTTTAGCAGGGTTTTGAAGTTTACCTGTTGAGAACTGCTTCCTTGTCTCCCAGACGACTTTTAATTTTACTTGTCAGATAGTCCAAAAACAGTGTCCAGATATCCAAACAAGAGAAGTAACCTTCATGAGTAGGCTATGATACAAAAGAAATCCAGACAATGAAATTACTTAATGCAACTGTTGTGCTTAGAAACACATACACCAGAACCGCAAAACCAAAGGCCTACCTACAGTCCCTTCTTCATGACCTCCACTAAGGACGTTGAGTCAGTCTTAACCAGTGGACCCTATTAAATCTCACCAGACAAGGGCACCATGGGACACCATGTGACAGAACTGCTCAGGGATTACAGAACGTGCCAAGGAACCCCGTCTGAGCCTGTGTGGAGAGGCTCCCACACACTACCTACTCTGCGTCGACTTTTGAGAAAGAAGCTTGCACTCTAGAGGAGATGTTCAAGGTCATCAACAGAAGCAGGACACAGCTGTGTCTTCTCTACTACAAACACACAAAAGCAAATGGAAGCCAGAGTACCTTCAAAGGCAACAGTCCACACATCTGACTATAAGGAAAGCAACAATGGCAGGTCTTTCTACATAGAAGACTGAAAAGGAGCTGTTGAGTATCACTCCAGGGTAGTATGGCATTTGCAAAACTCAGGTATCAAACAGGCCAATAGCAATCTCAAACCAGGAGCTGACAGAAACAGCAAGTTTCTTGGTACCTGGCCAGTCGTCCTTGGCAAACTTCTTAAAAACCTTGAGAGTCTATTCATGCAAAATCTAGGAGCCATGGTTTTCTTTCCTTCGATTCTGCTAGTTGACCACCTCACCATCCACCATATTTGTGAGAAGGAAGTTCGGTAGTACAGGCCTCTAATCCCAGCTGATCAGAAGGCTAAGGAAGAAGGATCTCAAGTTCAAACCTTACTGGGCCAAAAAGTAAGTTTGAGGTCATCCAGGGCAACTTAACCAGACAGAGTCTGTCACAAAACGGAAAATGAAAACAGGACTTGGACTGGAGTGGGGTTTAGTGCAAGATATTTTCCCTCCATATACAAGTCCCTGGGTTTGATCCTAGCACACCCTAAATCAGGCATGATGACACACTCCTATAATCCTAGAGCCAGGAAGGACCTCAAGATCAGCCTCCAATACATAGCAAGTTCAAGGACAGCCTGAGATACATGATCCTTTCTCAAGAAAGAAAACACATCACAAAACAAAAGAAAAAGAAAGGGTTAGGGATGACATTCATGCCATTCTAGCATGTGTAAGACCCTGGGTTCCATCCTTGGAACCCAAAAAAGAAAGAAAAGAAAGCAGAGAGCTGGAGCTGGCTCAAAGTAAAAGTGATGGCTGGGCACCCTGACCTCCTGAGTTTCATCCTCAGATCCCACGGTGGAAAGAGAACCAATTTTCAAAAGTTGTCCTGTCTTCACATGCATGTTGTGCCATGTGACTGCACACAATCACATAAACACTAACATTGTATACACATACACACACAATAAATATATGAATAAATTTTTAATTTTTTTAAAGGAAAGAATACGTTAGTTTTTCTATCAGATTTAGTTAATTTTTGTCAACCTGACACACACTGGGAAGAGAGAAACTTAACTAAGAAAATGCCTCCAGCAGATGGGGTTTGTGAGCATATCTTGTGGGGCATTTTCTTAATGACTGATGTAAAAGAGCCCAGGTCACTATGGGCAGTGCTACCTCCAGTAAGCAGCTTTCCTCTATGGTTCCTGCTTCTGCCCCTGCTGAGTTTCTGGCCCAACTTCCCTCAGTGATGGACTGTGATGGGGACAGGTAAGCCAAATAAACCCTCTTCCCCACAGTGCTTTTGGTCATGTGTTTATCACACCAACAGAACACTAACTAAGATAAGTTTCCTTCTGTTTCTGATTCACCCGGAAATCCACTTTCCAATGATATGTTTTCAAGGAATAACTAATGACTAAATAAAGAAGGACACGGGGAGGAGGTGACCAAACTAAAATCTCAGGCAGGAAAATTATAATTAAAAATCCACCAAGCCTCAGGGTAAGTTTGCTCTTTCCTGGAATCCCAGTATTTGAGTCTGAGGCAGAAGAATTACCAAGAGTTCAAGGTCAGTAGGGACTCACAGTGAGGTCTTGTCTTTAAAAAAACAAAAGTAACATATAAAAAAACTAAAATAAGCCACTAGGGGTGTAGCTCAGCAGAGCATGTATCCAACCTATTTGGATGACTCTGGGTTCCAGTCCCAGGACCACAAAGAAACAGGACGATAAAAACCTCACAACTAAAAGAAAGCTAAAGGGACACCCATTAAAACCCTAACACCACCCGGATTGTCTGCCATAAAACCATCCCAGAGAACCACGAGGTAAACCAACTATCAAACTACAGGGAAGTAACAGAGAGTTGGAAGACTGGCCACTGAGGCTGCCTGTGTACCTGCAGTCTTGTCACAGCATGGCTTGCTGAGCTTCCTCAAGTAAGTCATCTCTCTGCCTTTTATAATTTGAGAATTCCCACTGGTCCCCACAAAAGAATATGACTGATCAGATGTACATGGAAATGTTTTTTAAAAGCTACTACAAACAAAAAAAGGTCAATTTATGGCATTGCACCTATATACATATTATACTCATGAATGTGCAAAAACACAGCTAGGGCTTCTACCCCAGCACAGCTGGAAACACCACCCATCACTCCTGCACCTGATAAACCTACTCTAAGAGGTCTGTGCATTGCCCATAGGCTGCCTGTACTGGCCTTTGACATCAGCCATGGAAACAAAGAGGACAGACAGACAGACTGACCTGACTTTTGGAATCACTCCAATTTTCATGACCCTTCCTGATCCATTTATTTAAAGTAACTGTATTCAGATTTACTTTTCTGTTTCTAAGGCTAACTAATCACTCACAATCCTGCCAGGGTACAACTGATGACACCAGCCACGCCTTCCAAATGGTTTAGAGTGGTGATTCTTCACTGGCATTGATCTTATAGCAACCTTGGAAAGTGAACACTTGTTTCTCACATTTTCTAGTTTAGAAAACCACGGCTCAAAAGTTGCCTGCCCGAGATGACAGGACAACCAAGGGACAGAATAAGAACTTCCAGTCCAGAGCCCTTTCCCTGCACTGTGCCACCCTGGACATTGCTGTGGGGAAAGGGTAAAAGGAAACAAGCAAGGCCACGAGGGACCTGGTGAGAAGACAGAGAGAGGAGGGCTAGAAGGCAGAAATCTCGGGCTCACAGTTACCCCAAGAGGTACAGCAGCCAAGGAGAGTCACAGAGGAGGCCAGTGTCTGGGGAGAAGCAGCCACAGGACTGCGGCAGAGCCCAGTAAAGAAGAACGCAGGAAGGGAGAGAAGAGGAGAAGTAGCCGAAGAAAGAAAACACCACTCTGACTGCTCCTTCAAAACGTTGTATAGTACCAGAACAACCATGACTCTGAGAAAAGACAAAGCTACTGAGCGTACTCCTTGCCAGAGTCTAAGCGAGAAACCTTCGCCCTTCACAAATAGGAGGCTGTGATGGAATAAGAGCACACTGCGAGCCCAGAACTGGAGCCCTGAGGTCCTTCATTGGTTTTCTTAAATCCCAACCGCACTCTGCCCTCATCTTCAGTACATCGTGTGCTGTATGGTATTCTCCTCCTTCTGACACCATGATACCATCTCAAGTACATCGTGTGCTGCATGGTATTCTCCTCCTTCTGACACCATGATGCCATCTAGAGCACATCATGGCTGTATGGTATTCTCCTCCTTCTGACACCATGATACCATCTCAAGTACATCGTGTGCTGCATGGTATTCTCCTCCTTCTGACACCATGATGCCATCTAGAGCACATCATGGCTGTATGGTATTCTCCTCCTTCTGACACCATGATACCATCTTGGAGTAGAGATTAATTTGGCCTGTGCCATAGTTAGGTTTCTATTGCTATAATAAAACATCATGACCAAAGCAACTTGAAGAGGAAAAGGTTTATTTCAGCTTATAGTTCTTAGATTATCCTCCTCCATCATTGAGGGAAGTCAGGGCAGGAACTGACTGTAGCAAAGGCCATGGAGGAAGGCTGCTTACTGGCTTGCTCCCCCTGGCTAGCTCAGTTCATTTTCTTATACACCCAAGACCACCTAAGCAGGTAGAACTACCCAATAGGCTAGGTCCTACCATATCAATCACCAACCAAGAAAATACCCCACAGGCTTGCATACTACAGACTGATCTTATGGAGGCTGTGTCAAATTGACCAAAAAAAAAAAAAAAAAAAAAAAAAAAAAAAAAAAAACACAACTGGCCAGCACAGCCAGAAGTTGTCACAGTTAGTTTCAGCAGTCAACCTGACACAAACCTAGTCACCTGGGAAAAGGGGAACCTCAAATGAACACTTGCTCAGATCAGCTGGCCTGTGGCTATGCCTTCGAGGCATTTTCTTAATTACTGATTGATGCAGGAAGACTGGTCTCAGTGAGCAATGCCACCCCTAGGCAGCAGGTAAGGCTGGGCTATGTAAGAAAGGTAGCTGAGAAAGGCAATAGCAGTGTTTCTCTGTAGTTTCTGCTTCAGACTCCTGTCTTGAGTTCCCACTTGGCTTCCTTCAATGAATCTATAACCTATTCTTTCCTATGTCTCCTTTCCTCTCCACGCTGTAGTCATGGTGTTTATCACAGCAGCAGAAAGCTACCTAGAACAGTAGCCATGGCTACTAATGAGCAGAACAATATAGTGACGGCCAGGTCTATAGCAATGGAGCTATGGACATTTCTCCAAGCAGCTAGAGGAAAAAAAGGTCACAGGACCCTTACCTGGGAGTCTAGCCTTTATTCCCCCTCCCACGCCCCACCCCCACACAGCTGTAAATGATCTCAGAACATGCTAGAGTATACAGGAAGTAAAATGCTAACTGAAAGGGAACCCTATGATGCAGCTTCCATGTGGTCACTATCCATGATGGGGTGGGAGTTTACAGTGATGTAGTTGTCTGAGGGGTTACTCGTGTTCCTGTAAATAACTTATTGCCCATAAAACTATAATCAAGCTCAGTAAATCCATAGGTTCACCAAACTGACTTTGGTGGAATCATAATTTGGTCTGTTGCTGGTGCTCCATCTGGGGTGAATAGACATTTGTTCACGTCTCCCAGGAAAAGTTAATGCTCTGCTCTACTTCTCCTGCAGTAAGCCAGCCCAGAGCATTTGCCAACTCCGATCCCTCAGCTTGGTGCTCAGCACAGCCCACACCTCAAGCTCACTCTCCCACAGTGGGTCAGCTTGCATCCAGAAGGAAGGTTCTCATATGGGAGGCCTGGAGAACGAAGCAAGCTGGAGGACAGGTAAGGGAGGGGGGAGGCTTTGCTTGCTTCTTGACCACTTTTCTGCTCTTTTTCCAATTGTAAATGACGTATAAATATATGGAACTATCACCTTCAGTTCAGTGGAAAACACATACAAGTCTACTAAAAGATGCACACTGGGGATGGCCCTGAATTATCCCCACTGTAATCCATCTTCTGAGGTGGGGAAATTGAAAGAAATAAAAAAGGGTTGTTGTAGTGGGTAGCTGTTCCAGCTTTGACCTGGAAGTACTACCCCCATTAAGGCTTCCGGTAACTGTCACGCCTTTGAGGCGAGGCCAAGACAGGAGCCATTAAGACCTGAGATCCGGATGTACTGGCTCTCTTGGTTCCTGGATCCTGGACGCTGGAGGTAGACTGAGCAGAGTTCTCCAGAGAACACCACTGGACCGCACTTCACCTCTCCCAGACCCTGTAACCTATCCCTTCACTTGTAAGTTACCCCACAAAATAAACCTCCCCTTTAACTACGTGGAGTTGCCTTAATACTTCCACCAATATCAGGGTTGTGTCAGGGTACAGACTGAACAGAAGTCACCACAGCTTACACACAGAACTGGGTCCAAGTGAGTTTAAGACATTCCTGTTCCTTTTTCCAACCTCATCACTGGCTCTTTATCCTTTCTTTCTGCTCCACTCACCCTACAGTCTCTGACTGACACTCGATCCACCCTTCTTTCAAAGGCCTCCAAACTTTCCCACCACACAGCTGCTCTTCTCCTCCGATCTCCTCATCAGCTCTTCTGTGCTCTTCCCATCGGGTCTGGTGCACTCAGCATGTTTTCCTTCTTGCTCTGCATGCACTGGCCCCTCCACCCTGACTAATCTTCAGCTTGGGCCCTCCTCTATGGCCTCCTGCTCCATTGTCTGCTCCCAGCAATGGGTCACCTCACTGCTACCTCTAGGTATTCCAGTCTTTACACACCCTGACTCTCTCTGGGAAAGGCTTTTTTCAGATCAAACATTTGCTTTTCATACACATACAGCACTCCAGCCTAGACCCTTCCATCTTTTAACCCCATTAAACTGGAAAGCTAATTTTTTTTAAAGTCAACTTTTCATATCAGATGCCTTCATTCCCAGGGATATACTAACAGAAAGAGCTACCCGATTACATCAAAAAGTATGTTCAAGAATATGCCAGGTAGGCTGGTTACTTAACTATAATCATAGTCCCAGAGAGGGTGAGGCAGGAAGATTACCACAAATTCAAGGCCATTCTGAGCTATGTAGAAAAATCTTATTAAAAAAAAAAAAAAAAAAAAGGCCAGGCAGTAGTGGCGCACGTCTTTAATCCCAGCACTCGGGAGGCAGAGCCAGGCGGATCTCTGTAAGTTCGAGGCCAGCCTGGGCTACCGAGTGAGTTCCAGGACAGGCGCAAAGCTACATAGAGAAACCCTGTCTCAAAAAAAAAAAAAAAAAAAAAAGATGGAGATGGGATGGTAGTACACAACTGTTAATACCAGCACTTGGAAGGTGGGGGCAGAAGGTCAAGAGCTCAAGGTCATCCTTAGATCCATAGCAAGTTTAAGGCCAGCCAAAAGCTACATGAGACCCTATCTACTAACAAAACAAAACAAAAAAGACTGTTTGATTCATGATTCTTGGTTCCCCAAAACCAGAAAGAGCCAAATCAGCAAGATGGATTTTCATTTACTAGAATACAATGAATAGGAACAAACCACTGCACACAACATACATACCTCAAGCACAATGTCAAGCAAAAAAGCCAGACCAAATAAATGGACATTATCTGCTTTCCTTTAGAGAAACTCTGGAACAAGGCAAAATTAGCCTTCGGTGCTGAGACCAAGCCTGGGCTAATCTAGGAGAAGGGAGGAAGAACGTGTGCAGGACTTCTGGATGCTAGTACATACCACTTCTTAACGTGGGCGGCAGCTCCAGCAGCTATGTCCATTTGGGAACAACTCATCAACTTGTACATGTATGCTTAATGTGCTTTTTTGTATGTGTGCTGTGGAGCTTTAAATGAGAATGGCCCCATAGGCTCAGATATTTGAATGTTTGTTTCCTAGTTGGTGGACTGTTTAGGAAGAATTAGAAGGTGTGGCCTTGTTGGAGAAGGTGTGTCACTGAAGGTGGGCTTCAAGGTTTCAAAGCTCACACCAGGCCCACCTCTCTCTCTCTCTCTCTCTCTCTCTCTCTCTCTCTCTCTCTCTCTCTGCCTACAACTTGTGAATCATATGCGAGCTCTCAGCTACTTCTCCAGCACCATGCCTACCCACCTGCCCCTGACATCATGGATCGACCTTTTGAAATTGTAAGCAAGCCCCGAATTAAACACTTTTTTAAAAATTGTCTTGGTCATGGTGTCTTCTCACAGCTATAGAACAGTAACTAAGACATATGCCATACTTTAAGTCTATTGTAAAAACACACTAACAGGCAAAAGGAGAGTTTATAAATGTTATAACAGGCAAAAGGAGACTGCAGTAATGGCCACACAATACTCAATTCACTGAACTCTTCAATTACAGTGATGGGATTCCATGGATGTAAAACCATACCTTAACAAAGCCTTTTAGAACCCTGTGTGTGTTTACATAGCAGTAGGTAACTGGGATACAAATTCAGTAAAGACAGTCCTCAGGGGCCTGAGGCAAGAGGATTACCAAAGATACAAGGTCATTCTGGGCTATGTAGTTATGCATCTAGCTCCTAAAATCCAAAAGGAACTCAAAGAACCTCTGTTAAATGGAGACAAAATTGGATATCACCCAAACTTAACTAATGAGTGCTTTGCTGTGTAGTCTTCTGGAGAGCTTTAACAGCAGCTGCGCAACAGAAAGAAAGCCCTTTTTGTATTTAGGAACGCACACAAGCACGCACACACGCACCCCACAACCACAACAATTAATGGGGGGAGGGGTATCTAGAATTTGAAAGAGAACAAGGAAGGGTACAGAGGAGGGTTTGGAGGAAAGAAAAGGAAGGGGGAAATGATGTAATTATATTATAATCTCAAAAAAAAGGGGAAGTAGTATTTTTAAAGCCCTAACCTCAGACTGTTCCTCTACCCCACTCGTCTAGCATAACAGCGGTAAAGACGGGACTGTAGACTCCAATCCTGGCTCCACACAGACTGTATGTCCCTGAGCACCTTGTTCTCTGTGCCTCAGTCTCTTTCTCTATAAAATGGAGATTCGATGCAAACACAGCAAGAGCTGCAACACTGGGTTCTTAGAAAGACTGAACACATTTATCTTCCTGTAGTAAAGACTACTCTAAATGTTTGGGTGGGGGGGGGGGGTGGTTCTTAAGAAGGAAGCCCTCGTTTAGGAAAGGAAGGCCAGTTTGGGTGCTTTACCTGATGAAACGTGTACTTGAACAGAAGGGTCAGGAACTCTACCACAGGGAACTGAGAGTAGGACTCGATTCTTCTCAGGTGAACACTCACAAAGAGCCGCAGAAAGTCGGTAAACTTCTCAATGTAGCTGCACGAGACAAGAAGACAAAAGATGACGTAAGAAACTTAGCCGCCAGTTTCTTAGAAGAAAACTTAATCAAACGCTCTCTCAGTTCAGAACTCTACAAACACACATTTCCAGTTAAAAACACAAAGGCCCGCACTAGTTACCCACGACACAGGCAACCCTTTATTCCACTATCACCTGAAACACAGCAGAAAAGCAGCTTTCCTCCTCAGACTCTGTCCGCCCTGCTGCTACAAACTCAAGTTCACCTGTGTGCCAACGCACTGGTGTTAGCACCCAATTAAAGGAAAGAGGCTGCTGCTAACAGGTGCTGGGGGGGTGACGGTGTCTTCACGTCTGGCAAATTTAGAAAGGCAGGTCTTCGCTGGGACTGACATTAAGTTGAAATGCACTAGGCAGAGACAGAGATGAAGTCTATCCAGAAGGGACAACGTCTAGGTCACAATCCAATTTCTGTCCTCCCCCCTGACACCCAGCACTAATGAAGGACTGCACATCTACTCCACTCTAAAATCGACTTTCAAATATAAGGGAGGAAGACTGTAGGAGCTAGACAAGCCTCTATAGATGAGGCTCCAGAAGGTAAAGTGACCCAAGAAGGTCATTCAGCCAGCTCCCAGGAGAGGGCGCTATCACTCACTCTCAGTGCACCCTTTCTGTGCACTGTGTAGTAGCTGGCCCATAATCCTCAAGCCACTTCACAACAGTGAGTCAGTCAGTTACAAGGGTAAGAGGTTTCTGTTCTTAAACACACAGTACATTATCACTTTCACATTTTAGAAACTGGCATTTTAAGCCCCTCAATACCAGAAAGTGAATAGAAATCAAGATGGACATTTCAGAGACTAACAAAAGTAGCTAGACACACTAGGCTTTGGCTGAATATTAAGTAATGTCTAAAGCAACACTGAAATCATTAACTGCCAAAAACAGAACTACATGAAATCATAAAAGGAAAAAGACAAGCACCGTTCAGAAGAACCACACTGGCTCAAACTCCAGTGTCTTCTGCTGTTCCTGAGACCTGCTCCCTCAGTGAGGCCAATGCCTGTGCTGTGGGATGGTCTGTATGTCAAGTGTGTTGCTGATTGGTCAATAAATAAATCACTGATTGGCCAGTGGCCAGGCAGGAAGTGTAGGTGGGACAAGGAGGAGGATAAAGCTGGGAAGTGGAAGGCTGAGTCAGAGACACTGCCAGCCGCCACCAGGACAAGCAGCATGTGAAGATGCCGGTAAGCCACGTGGCAAGGTACAGATTTATGGAAATGGATTAATTTAAGCTATAAGAACAGTTAGCAAGAAGCCTGCCACGGCCATACAGTTTGTAACCAATATAAGTCTCTGTGTTTACTTGGTTGGGTCTGAGCGCATGTGGGACTGGCAGGTGACAGAGATTTGTCCTGACTGTGGGCCAGGTAGGAAAACTCTAGCTACACGCCTGCCTGGCCTCTAGATGGTTGACTAATACAGTAAGACATTAAAATCAATCCATTGGGTTTTGGTTTTTGTTTGGACAGGGTCCTGCTCTGCAGCTCTAGGTGTCCTGGAACTTACTATGTAGACCAGGCTGGCCTCCACTTTTCGGTGATCCTCATGCCTGGCTCTCCTTCCTCTTCCTCCCCAGTGTTGGGGGTTACAAACATGAGCCACAGGCCCAGGATTAAAACTGGTTGTTCTGAGAAAGCAAAGTACAAAGCACCTTTTTTCTGCCATCTCCAGGGACTCCTTGGGGACAGCAAGTCCTCATTTCTTACTCAGCATATGTACTGCTCCATGGTTATACATGGATCTTCAGAGGTAGCAGCCTTAAGGAAGATACACTTGTTACCCATAAAAGAAAAGTCTCAAGTCTATTTTAATCTTCAACCCAAACTGAAAAATGCAAGCTAGGTATGGGGACTCATGCTGTTAACCCTAGAAACCCAGTAAAGCTGGGAGAGTGGATGCACAAGTTCAATGCCAGGTTGAGCTACACAGCAAATTCCAGGCAACCAGAGTACTGAGACCCTGTCCAAAGAGGAAGGAGGGTCCCAAATGAGAACAAGGCGTGTCATACAGCTGACACTAGAGATGTGCCTGCACCTCATCTCCCCCTTGCCCATCTGCCTGGTACAGAAGAAGCTAACGAACAGTCAAAGTTAGAAAAGGAGTGAGGGAAGAGAAGCCAAGGACCTGGTTAAGCAGCTCCTAAACAACTGACACGCACTAAATGGTTTATAATTAGTCAGGATCAAGAGCTAGGAAGCAAGCACACACTGTTTCTGTCACCTTTCTGCTTCCAGGCACCTCTCAGCTTTCACTTCGGATCCAGGACAAGTCAAAACAACACAGTTGATATAGGCAGTTATATACACTTTTATTATATATGAAGACAAGATGGCCTTTCTTTATCAATGCTAGAAAGGATATGAAACTGTGTGAATTGTGAGGCATTTAAATTCATATAGGAAGGTACTACTAAATAATGAGGGGCAAATGCTACTGGAGGTAGAGAGATGGCTCAGGCAAAGGCACCTACCGCCAAACCTGAAGATCCAAGTTTGATCCCAGGGACTCACATGGTAGAAAAGAAAACCAATTCCAGCAATTCTGACCTCTACACGCAACAGAGCATGTGCCCCCACCCAACCACAAAATAAATAAATCTAACAAAAAAAAAAACTTTATTAAGAAAAGATCCTGTTGGATTATGAGTACTTTGTGACTATAAAAGGCAAATGTCACACAAAGTTTATTCACAATGAACCAAACCAAACTAACCTTCACTCAATTTTTAACCAGATAAACTTAAAGCTCCCCACTTTAGAAGAACTATCCTGACTTGGGGCAGCTGACTTTATAGCCTACCACACTTCCTCTAAACAAAGCAAAGAGCTTAAACTCTGTTATCACTTACTAACAATCATGTTGGAAACGACTAAAATGTTAACAGCCTTTACACAAGGAAGTCTCTAATAACTATTTACTAATGTAATACACTGCATCTGCTTTGAAGCTTCAACAGCCCACTTGATTGTTAGGACTACATGCTACCAGTTGCCCTTCACCTTTATATAGCAGTAGCAGTACTGTGTTTAGCAAAGAAGTAAGATGCTGAGCTGAGCCTGTGGCCAGTGGCAGGATGACTTGTCTGGTAGGCACAAGGTCCTAGGCCCCACCCTAGCACTACTGGGGTGGAGGGGACTCAGCCTACTTCACTGAGGTCATCTTATTTGTACTCAAGAAAAATAGGCCTGGGGAATTTTAGGTCAAGAGGGCAGTAGCCAAGCAATGCAAGTATGTGCCACTGAATCATACCTACCTGAACATGTCTCCCATCTTGGATCAACAGCTATCATTTATGTGACACTCACAATACTAACAGCATTCCTATACTCTGCAAGATGTGCACTCAGGAAAAGTCCACTAGTGAAAACCAACAAGCAGTACCAAGTGAGAAGGGTGATATAACCCTGTACCTCTGCAGCCTGCTTCTGTTCTCGACTATGAAGGAGCCGAACTCTCACTTCCTGCACACATGAGACCTGTAGGCAGACAGTGAGGAAGAGGGACAGAGCATGGACATGGACAGGAGGATAGGAGGTGGATGGATGGGGTAAAGAGACAACAGGCCTACACAATACACCAGCACTTTTCACGCTCAATTCATTTCCCTTAACCACCCAAGCCCTTCTAGTTCAGCCTGAACATTCTGGAACACCTACCTTTCTATCTTTATCAGTAGCCCCATATTCTGAAACCAAAGGGGGTTACAGACACCATATGACATGGTGTGACAAGCAGCCAGGCCCTTCTCGGGCACGACTCCGCCTGTTCTCATTACCTCTCATCGAGCTCCTCTAGCCTGCTCTTCACCGTGTGGGCATTGTTATCCTTGGTGATTTTTTGCAGGAGGTAGAAGGTTTGCTGGAACATTCGTAATAAGTATTCCTCAAATTCCATAGGCACACAGTTCTTGGACATGAGTTCATTGATGCAGGACATGGCCAAGACCCCAAGTCGGCCACGCTCCTGACCCAAAACACAGTTCTGGCTGCTGCCATTCACTGATGCCATCTTTCTGGCCCGGGTATCACAGCCAAATCGAGCAAAGTGGAAGATAGTGGTGAGGAGGGATGGGGTGATGCTGGCAGACAGAGGAATCCAACTGAAGAGGTGGGCCAGGCATTCCAAGGCCAGGGAACAGACATACTCACTCTCCACATCCAGCACGGGGATGGGCTGGGGCAGCAGTTTGGCTGAACTAGGACTCTGCAACAGGTTACTCAGTAAATCACCTGGAAATTCAAAACATGCTTTTACAATACCCAGTACCAAACCTCTTGAAAACACTGCAAAGAATTCTCCTTTCCTCAAAACAATTTAGTCACTATAAAAGCAAAACCTAAAATCAATATGCTTTATATTCAATACCAACTACAGATTATACTGAACACCAAATGTAAAATACGTATTTTAAAAAAATTGTCCAAGTGAGTTACAGACTTAAACCAAAGACAAAGCTTCATAAGAAAAACAACAAAACACTAGAATCTGACCACGGTCAAAGGAAAGATTTATTGAAACAATCAAAACACAAACCTTGACAAAAAATACTGCTGAGTTTAGCAACACATTACCAAATAATAGTTTTTCACTGATGAAAAGGATTATAACCAGGAAGATAGCGGGCTCTAAAAAGAAGATAGCCACAATAACTAACACTAAAAATTCAAATGTGAAAAAGAACTGTTGCCCACCACTAGTAGCATCCAGATATACAAACAGGTGGTTATGAAGAAATGATTTTCTAAACAAATGCAAAAGGTCAACTGGCCTATGAAGATATGTCGGGCTCAGTCATCAGAAACGCAACCTAACAATGGCGAAACAGGACTGTTGGCAAATATCATACAGAGCAAGAGAAGCAACAAGAACGTTCACAGCTCTGCCACAGAACCTGCATTACGGAATCCTGTTACCACTCCTTCTATCAAATGACTGTTCTCTTCTAGCATATTCCAAAGCAACCCTCACACAGATCTATGGCAGACAGATAGAGGCTCTTGTATAGGGGCAGCTGGAGGCAATCTAGGCTCCTCGGTGAAGTCAGAAGACTAGCAAGACACTGAGGATATATATGCCCCATGCAGCAAGCAAGCAGAGGCCTGTGTCTAAAGGCACAGGTCACACACAGGAGAGAAAGCAAAAAGACAAGTATTGAATGAAAGGTCAGCATCAGAACACAACGCTACCACATTATTTACACAGTGAAATACATGGGTATCAATCACTTTTCACAAAAAGCCATTTATTATATACATTTCTGTCTGTTATGGGAAAGAGGGAATGGGAGAATAGGTTTGAAAGGGGATTAAAAAAATAAACACACACAAAATGAAGTGGGCATGCAATGGCTTAGAAAGTAACTGTCCTTTCTGCCAAGTCTGACAATCTAAGTTCAATCCACATGGTGGAAGGACAGAACCAACAAAACTGTCCTCTGGCTATGAGACAGAGAGACAGAGAGAGACATACAGAGACACAAAGACAGAGACAGAGAGAATAAGTAACCATTTACAAAAAAAGAAGAAGATGGGGAGGTGGTGGTGGTGGTGGTGGTGGTGGTAGTGGTGGTGGTTAGGGCAATAGTTCAGTGAGCAAAAACACTGGCCATGGAACCCTAACCACCTCAGTGTAACCCTCAGAGCCCACAAAGAAAGCCAGAGGCAGTGTACACAGCTCTAATTCCAGCACTCATATGGCAAGAACAGAGTCAGAGATAGGAGAAAACACCCAGAAGCTCAGGGGCCAGCTGGACTGGAATACACAGCAGAGACACAGAAACAAGAGACCCTGTCTTGAGCAAGATGGAAGTAAAAATCGACTCTTGACAAGTTGTCCTCTGACCTCCACATGTGCAGAGGTGTGTGTGTGTATATATATATATATACACACACACACACACACACACATACACCAAGGTGTCTCAGTGCTATAGACTGCACAAGTTCATTACTGGACTAATGGCTTAAACTTTTAAATTCAAGTATTGCTACAAAACCTCAGTTCTCTTTACATCTGCAAAATTATTTAATCATTCAAATACTGTAAAATGTATACCTGCTGAGCCACCAGAAATACATACGTGAAGACAGCTTTGTCACTAAGCACAAAGTTCACACATTATTGCAGGCTTGAAATATGCTCTAGAATTCCATTTCTAAGTAGTGTGAAAAATAATGAATGTTTTTCAATCTGAGTACAATAAGCAGATTGAATAAGTAGTGTTCTGTGAGCAGCCCTCAACCCAAATCCATGGGGTGGTTTTCAGTTCAACAGGACTTCTGCAAGAATCCTAAGTCCATATCAATGTTGCATGAACAGCCTGGGGCTTAGAGGGTTGATTTCAACAGCCCACTTCCTCAACAGTGTGGGGAAATACAAGACTATTTCTCATAATCATATCAGCTTTTACAGGAGAGGAAGGTGTGTACTAGCTCCAGGCTGTGCTCTACCTGGAAAGCTTCTTTGGCCATCTGGTATAAGCAGAAGCACTTACACAGTGTTTAAAGACTTCATTGACTTACTCTCACATCCTCAATTCTTTACACGAACAATGTAAATTCAGCACTAAGTGCTGCACACTGGTCCCATCCCCAGTTTGCCCTGGCAACATGACTTGTGCCCCAGTCAACAGGTCGCAGCTCTGTAGAACAAAGCAGACCTCTCGAGGCCCTAGCTTATAACAAACTCAGTACAAACAAAGCAGCCAGGGAACCTGAAAACAACAAAGCTGCCCAAAGCAGAAAGGACAGCAATTATGAACTGGCAGGGGCAGGTCAAAATGCTCAGCAGGTGCTTGCTCCAAGCCTGACAAGCTGAGTTTGATCCCCAGCTTCTGAAAGTTGTCCTCTGTGTGCAGTGTGCACAACAAAAATAAGTGTAAAAAGTTTTAATAATAAATTGGCAGAACAGAGATGGATGGCACAAGATCAAAGGTGCTGTCTTCATGACAGACAAAAAAAGAAGCAAAATGTGCTGTTCAAAGTATCGTATCCCAAAGTCCAAGTACTCAGAAGAAAACAGTACAAAGGCAGCTCCTCAGAAAACATGGGCAGAAAGGCCAAGACAAATTAGGGAGAACAAATATCTGTACCCTAGGTAGATTAGCTATTGCTATTCCCAGGTGAGAACCTAATTCATTTAGCCAGGAATACCATAGTGGGCAGCAGACCATACCACTTTCTCCTGAGGTCGGGGATGGTGGTGGGGTGGCAGCAGTAACACTGTGTTTGTCCCAGACAGTTTCCAAGATACCTACCAAGAAAGGAGAAACAATGAGAGATATTAAGTCCAACATATAAAAAACAAAACAAAAAACTCCTGTTATCACTGATCCAATATCAGTATTCACATATCCCTTCCTCTCTGTATCTACTTCCAGCTAAGAGCTGTGCCTCCTCTCTATTCCACTTCTACCTATCTCTTTTCACACATTTATGGATACAGTGTGCATGTTCACATGTGCATGTGTGGGCATCTGCATGTGAAGGCCCAGGGTTGATGCTGACAATCTTCCTCAATTGCTCTTCCACCTTATTCTTCAAGGGAGGGCCTCTTTCCTAGTACACTAGCCAGCTTGCTCTGGAAGCTAAGGCTGAAATTACAGGAGGGGCACCACACCTCCACAGCATTTGTGTGGGTTCTGGAGATGTGAACTCTAGTCCTCTTGCTTGTACAGCAAGTGCTTTAACTACGAAGTCATGTCCCCAGCTGTATTTTACAGACTTCTGTCCTAAGTGCAGGATTTCCACTGCTTCGTCTGGATCTTGCTGTGTGGCTTCTCCCTACTGTTTCCTCCAACCTTGTTCTTTGTCAAAGCTACATGATTGCTACATCTACTAAGGGTCACCAATCCTCCCTGGACACCCCAGGCAGGGTTCTAGAACACTACCCAAGCCTTCTCTGGCATGTGCTGTCATTCTTTCTCAGCTCTCCTCTGGTTCATTACAGCTACCTTCTGCCCATCCATCATTGACATCTTTTATCTTTCCTCTAGTTCCCATTCTTATCCTCTGACATTCTTCTCCTATTTCACTCTCTATGCTAGGGAAACTGTTGTGGCTTGCTTCAACCAAATGTCTCCCAAGCCCAAAACTCCTTTTGACTCTACACATGAGCTCTACTGTCATATGAGAGGCATTCAGAAAGCAGGTAAGGAATCCAATCACAGATCAGTACAACCAAATACTTCCTGGGTCATACCACTTGCATACCCTAAAACTCAGCTCTTTACCCCTACGATTCTACCAATGATGCCCATACATTCCTTACCAGGTAAGCAGCACAGCCCACAAGACTTGGTACCTGGCCTTTATACACTCCCTTCCCAGCCTCCCCTGATCCAGTCTTCCCCAATACTGACCCATCTATCTGCTATGTCTTCAATACACACCATCCTCCCTCCTCACCTCCACTCTGCTCTCCTCCTCCTCCTCTAAATCTCAGCCTTCCCTTTCCACTGACTGCTACCTGTCTGTTCCTCCCATTTCCACTCAGCTGTCCTATGTCTCAGGTAGTCTTCCTAATCCTTGGTTTTACCTCCACACAATACATTGATCAACTCTTAAAACATCACTTTTTAACTGTTTACTTGCCTCTTCCACTAGGGTGCAAATTCCCAGAAGACAGGACTTGTTTTGATCCTTTGTATCCTGACAGAGCCTGGCATACAACATCACCACAGAAGCTCATAAAAATACTCCCAAAGGCCAGGTGTGGTGGCTCATGCCTTTAATCCCAACTCTTGGGAGACAAAGGTGGGTAGATCTCTTTGAGTTTGAAGCTAGCCTGGTCTATACAGTGAATTCCATGCCAGACAGAGCTACATAGTGAGATCCTATCTAAAAGCAAACAAACAAAAAAACTGCCCCCTCCAAATATTTATTGTTATAGCACGGATAAACCTAGAGAACCTGTTAAGTGAAGAAAGCCACACATAAAAGGTCATGATATGATATATGATATGATATGATTATAACACTTTATGAAAGGCTCAAAACAGACAAATCCCTATGGACAAAAGGTAGATGAGTGATTGCCAGGGATTGGAGGAGAGAACAGTGACCTTTTGTGGACTCAGGGTTGCTTTCTGAGGTAACAAAAAATGTTCTGGAATAAGGGCAATGGCTGCGAGGCTTTCAAAAGTCCTTAAGTCTCTGAACTGGCACAGTTTAAAGTGAACGTGTGCACATGTCTGAGATCTATTCTCGGATGGTTTCATGTCTATAGGAATAGAATGCAGGGCAGGTGCATAAGACATAGTCCCGACTATAAACTTAATACCCAGTTGATAACAGTAAGTTTGTTTTGAATGAATACATTCTGAGGTTTGAGTTTCCATCTGGGATCCAGGGAAGGATGGGGCCGGGGAAGCAAGTGCACCCAAGTTCACCATCATTCATCATTCTTTCAGTCTATTTTAAAGTACCCACCAGATGCCAACCACTAAAACAAACATACAAAAGGAGGAAAAAAAAATCTTGGATATCCAAATAGAAAAGACAAGATGAAATAGCACCTTCCTATTACAGATTCAAGCAGCAGTGACTTCCGGGCACCTCAAGGGCCTAGTGGCCAGCAGTCTACAAACCTTGTTATGTAAGCTCCACCAGCAAGGCATCCCAGTCTCCAGGAATGTTCTTGCCACCTTCCTGCCTCTCTCTTTCCCCTCACACATTGCCATGAGACTCTGATCAGACAGCTGGGATAAAATGCCACATAAAACTACAACCTAGGGCACAAGGGCCAACACCACAACTTGTCTCACTTCTCTACAGAGGAAATTTTTTTTATCTTGCTACTCCTACCTCTCCCAATCTTAAATTCAAATTACTTAAAATAAAGAGCTTGCTACCTACCTACTTAAATTACACTATCAGCATGTGAATCACATTCCTACGACCTGGCATGCATATATATATATATATATATATACACACACACACACACACACACCCCTACCTCGTTAGTCACATAGTGGACTATATTAAGAAAAGACTATAAAAAATTAAGTTACAAATCTCCTGTGAGGTCTTACCATGCACCAGTCTATGGACCTGAGGCTAGGAAACCAGCACTAAGTTCTTCCCACACTTATACTCAGTCAGCAATACCTAGAAGGCCTCGGCTCTGCACACCTGCAGCCAACCCATCTCCACTCACCACTAAGGCACTCACTCACCTGTCAAGAGCCCAAGCACTGTCTGCACCTGGTCCAGCAGCAGCTTCCGCAACTCCTCCTTCCGAGCCACACTGAGGTCCTCACGGGGACAAGCTAGCTCTTCCGAAGTTGTCTTCAACATGATCAGCCCAAGGGGGGTTGTCACAGGGGACTGGATCAACTGACAAGAAAAAGCAAATTCTAAGCAACACAGAACTAATGAGCTACAAGGAGGATTAGTAAAATTCAACTGTGAGGTGCTGAACTTCATATGGACAGACTACCTCAAGCAACACTTCTGAAAAATAGTTTAGAGGATCATTCGTGAAGCTTTGCTTTATTCTCATATTAGGGCCAAATTCTACCAGCAGGATCTTAAAAAGCAGCTGGAAGCAATCCTCTCCTATCAACAGGACAATCTTTACACGAGTTCAAATTCCCAACCAAGGTTTAGTTATTTGCATAATAACCAAGAGATACAGAGATACTCATACTGAATGACAGACCATTCTGTTATGGACAGACCACATCGACCCTGGTGGTCTTTTAAGATTATACTAGACCTGAAAAATCCCTACCATCTGGTAGGTTTGCTGTGGTTTCTCCACATTTAGATACAGTTAAGACATATAAAAGCTTAACACAGTGTCACAACTGCCTATAGTATTTAGTGTGGTAATATGTGGTACAAGTCTGTAGCCAGGGAACAACAGGCTATACCATACAGCCTAGGTATAGATCAGGCTCTGTCTACCATGCAGTTGTGTGCAAGTGTACTCTATGATAGTCATCCAACAATGCACTTTTTATAGTGTCTCACTGTCAAGGACACCATGATGATATGCATGTTAGGGATACAAATATTTTCATACCTGTGATAATGATAGCATAGATCAATTTGTGGTATCTTTTCAATATTCAAGTTAAATGAACTTTATAGTTCTAAATCTTACATTTCTGACCTTAGCATGTTTCAAGAAAGTTTAAAATTAACCATGAGGTAAGGCTAGGTGTGGCATCACACACTTGAAATCCCAGCAGTCATAGGAGACGAAGGCAAACAAATCAAGGGTTTAAGGCAAGAGACAGCAAGGTGACTCTGCAGGCAAAGGTGCTACCTGAGTTTGATCCCTGGAACCCACCTGGTGGAAACAGAGAACTGACTCATTTGAGGTTTCCTCTGACCTTCACATACATGTTATCCTCCATCCCCTTGCCAGAAAAGATAAATATAATTTTTTAAAAAGAGTTTAAGGGCAGCCTGGGCTACATAGTGGTCTCAAAGGTTTTAATTAAAAAGGAAAAGAAACATGTAGCAAAGCAACGCACATCCATGACATTAAACAACTATCACAGTCATTGAGTTTCGGGGACAGGTCTCACTATGTAGCCCAGGCTGTCCTAGAACTTGTGGTCATTCTCCTGCTTCAGCCTCTCAGATGCTGGGATTACAGGTATGCTTGGCTACAGTAAGAGTTTCTCGAATACCCATGTAATAAATTTAGTAACTATTCCTATCCCCTGTGATACTGTCTTCCAGCAGATGAGATACACTTTCAACAGCCTGATGCTACTTAGAGCATCCTACTTGTTTTCACAAAATTCAAGAGTATCCTACAAGTGAGCGGTTACCTTTACAAAGACCTACACTACTTGTCACAATTAAATAGCGAACAATTTCCAGAGTACCTCGCCCTTTTCTTCAAGCATGTATCACTTTCAATTCAGCTCTTCCCTGACTGTTTTACTTACAATACACAAAGTTTCTAAGCTTTAAAAAAGAGGACACTTAGGAATTGCATTAAGACAAACCAGATACTCTTCATTTCAACCAACCCAAGGCACACCACCCTTTCCCTGGAAAGTAACTCTTCCCATCACAGACTACAGAACCGTACATCCATCCCAAAAGAGTAAGAAAAAAAGCTGGGAAATAAGATGGCTCTGAGGGGGGTGGGGAGGGAGCACTTGCTGCACAAGACTGATGATCTAGCTGAAGTTTAAAATCCACAACAGAGAGAGAGACCCATTCCTGAAAGTTGACCTAACTTTACAGAGCATGAACACTGAGTGTGTGCCCATACATCTTCGCTCTCATTCTATCTCCCCTCCCTCACACACACAAATACTTTATTAAACTCAGTAATGAGAATCCAAGGGCAATCCCACTATGCTCAGAAGCAGCTCAAGAAAGCCAGCAGTTGCCTATAATCCCAGAAATCTAGAGGCAGAGGCAGGAGTTTAGGAGGCTACCCAAGAGCCAATCAGAGAAGAGGAGGAAGGAGAAGGAAGGAAGGAGGGAGATGCTCCCTATAAAAACCAGCTCTCCTGAATGCTAAAACTTCCTACTTCCACATTTTCTCTACTTTGTACAAAACTCAACTATTTCTAACACACTCAAATACTGTCTGCCTCAGTGTAATGTTTGGCTATAATAAAGTAGAAAAGACTCTCTTTAAGCCTGTGTGGAGAATTCTGGGTTCTCAACCCTATTCTGAGACTTTCCCTCCCTTTCTCCTTCCCCTCTTTTATCTCTATTTTCAACTAAGAACTGACTGTTTTTAGAGGGAGGGTTAAATTTTGTGTGTACTAGTGTTTTGCCTGTGACTATGTCCGAGTACCACCTGGGTGCCTGGTGCCCTCTCAGATCAGAACAAGGACTCAAAGCCTCTGGAACTGGAGTTTACAGTTGGTTGTGAGCCATCAATGGACACTGGGTCCTCTGTAAGAACAACAAGTACTCTTATCCACTGGCCAGCGCTCTCCAGCTCCTAAGCACTTAACCTTTCAGTTGAGAATATTCTTCTAAATACTCTACTTGGCAAGATTTACCTTCAAGATTTGTGTGTGTGTGTGTGTGTGTGTGTGTGTGTGTGTGTGTGTGTGTGTGTGTGTGTGTGTACACCTATGTGAATTTATATGCACCACAAGTGTCTAAGTGCCTGCAGTGTCCATCATCTCCCCTGAGACTGTGAGCCACTTGATGATACTGGGAACTGAATGAACCTTACTCTTCTGTAATGTAAGCGTGCTTGACTGCCATGCCTCTTTCTCCAGCCCACATGTTCACTTTCCTTTATCATGAAATGCCTCTGTGCTCCTCACAGATGCGGGACACCCTACAACATGGAAAAAATCCATCTGAAATCTCCTTGCTCTCTTTATTCAGAGGGAAGAAAGGTCAGGTAAGAAATCAAGTGAAAAAAGAAAGCCATCACTAGGCATGGTGGCACACGCTTGTAATATTAGCACTCGGCAAGTAGAGGTAGCAGTAAGATCATGAATTTGAGGGCAGCCTGGACTACACAGCAAGACCTTGTCACAAAAAAACAAAAAAACAAAACTCAACCCAGTTCAATGGTAAAGGGTTCATTTAGCATTGCATGACCCTAGGTTCCATCCTGAGGGAGGAGATGGATGGTAGGTAGGTAGGTAGAAGGAAAACTTTTTTTTTTGTAGTGCTAGAGACTAAACACACAGGACCTGAAGCATAATAAAGACAAAGTTACTTTGCTGGGCATGGAGGCTCGTGCCTTGGATCCCAGCACTCAGGAGGCAGATAGGCAGACTTCTGCGAGTTTAAGACAGTGGTTCTCAACCTGTGGGTCATGACCCAAGACCATCGGAAAGCACCAATATCTACATTTCGATTCATAACAGTAGCAAAATTACAGTTATGAAGTAACAATAAAAATAATTTTACGGTTGGGGGTCACCACAACATGAAAAACTATTAAAAGGTCGCAGTGTTAGAAAGGTTGAGAACCACTGGTTTAAGGACAGTCTAGTCTGCATAAAGAATTCCAGGCTAACCAGGGCCACAGCCAGAGCCTGTCTCAAAGAAACAAAAGTAAAGAAGAAAGTAATCATTCTTGCTTTCTCTCCCTGGCTGTGCTTGGACTCAGCCCTGGTTGGCTCCCTAGCTGCAGGAGGAAGGTGGGAGCTAAACCAAATCTTACGATTACATCTGATGGAAATGGTTATACTGCATGTGAATTTAACCTGTACCAATCCAGAAGGCTGAGATGGACAAGGTGGTGCCAAAGCCTCAGGCCTCTATATCACACTAACCCGCCTTGCTCTTTCTCATCATTGGATACCTCTTTGAGCTGTATATGGCTGCACCATCAGTTGCCCTCCTAAATAGTGAAGAAGCTTAGCTGTGAGCAACCCAGTGCCACCTTGGGGCACTTCTTCCTGACCAGTGGAAGCAGCCCAAGCAGGCGGAGGTAGGGCTTTCATCTTGGCAAAGAGAGCTCTCAAGCCACCAGGTATGATGATGATTCCACCAATGCTCCATCCAGGACTGACCCAGGCTTCTCAAGAAGGACTCAGAAGCATTTTTACCTGGTTACCTTTGTTGCTGGCATGACAATCCTTGTGGATAAACCCTGGCTCTAAGGCATGAGCAAAGTTTGGGAGGGACACCCCATCCAGAGCATCACCCAGTACAGAAATACTTGATGACTCAAGTTCCTTTCTACTGGTCCCTGCTCTCTGCCTCTGATGTCAAGCAACTGAACTTTTTTTTTTTTTTTGGTTTTTCGAGACAGGGTTTCTCTGTGTAGCTTTGCGCCTTTCCTGGAACTCACTTGGTAGCCCAGGCTGGCCTCGAACTCACAGAGATCCGCCTGGCTCTGCCTCCCGAGTGCTGGGATTAAAGGCGTGCGCCACCACCGCCCGGCGCAACTGAACTTTTAAGGAACAAACCATCCACCAACTGGCTGCCACCATTCTTCTCAGCCTCTCCTCGTGTGTCAATTTTGTCTGAGCAGTGAATCTTATCATAGTTTTTTCTGATCACCCGCTAGAGTCAGTCAAGCTTTAACTACACGGCATGGAAACCACCCACAATACCATCTTCCTCATCTTTGCGTTGTTCTCATCACCACCTGGCTGGTTCCTTGCCCTTCTGGCTCCTGCCCCACACCCTGGTGTAAACATTGGAACTCCCTCTCTCTTGCCTTTTTTGCTGTTCCTACTTCAACATCACAACAGGAGTGACGGATGCTGTGAAACTCGTGGGCCTACCTCCTTCTACACATGGCCCACAAATTCCTAACAAGAAAGCTGGTAGAGGATGAACACACTTCAAGAGAAGAAATGAAAAGCTCAGAGGAGGAGAAGGAGGCTGCAGCTGAGAGAGAAGCAAAGAGCAGACCCTACCAATGGCCACCCATTCTGAATAAAAATCTTAAGAGTGGCTAGAGAGGTGGCAATTAGGAGTATATATTGCAGGTCTGGAGAAATGGCTCCATGCCTAAGAGTATTTACTGCTCAGAAATGGCTCCATGCCTAAGAATATTTACTGCTCACGCAGAGGACCTGGTTCAGTTCCCAGCACCCATATCAGGTGACACCTAACTGCCTGTAACACTAGATCCAGAGGATGAAACAACATCAAAGGGCATCTGCATGCACAGAGTGCATATAGACTCACACAGGTACATGCATATATACACCAGTAAAAATAATAAATAAGTTTTAAATAGAGTGCATAATGCTCTTTCGGAGGACCTGAGTTCAATCGCCAGAACCCATATTGGTGGCTCACAACCCCCTGTAACTCTAGCTCCAAGGGATCCAATGCCCTCTTTTGGGCCTCTGAGGGCACGTGTGTGTGTGTGTGTGTGTGTGTGTGTGTGTGTGTGTGTGTGTGTGTGTGCGCGCGCGTGCGCGCACAAATAAAATAATCTTTTAAAAATCATCGTAAGAATGACTGAACCATTGTCCTAGCTTCCTCCCACATTAATATATAGAGTGAAAATGCTAATTGGCCTTCCCTGTTGGGTCCACCAGGCTCTGGAGAGAAGAAGAAAGGGACATTCTTGTTCTCTCCCCTTAATCCATCACCCAGGTGCCTTTCAGCCAGTCTCTAAGCAGCCTGTCGAGCACAGAAGAGGCTGGTTAAGCCCTCGGCTAGAGGGGGGCTCTTGCTCCCTGTCTGCTTTCCAAGCTCCCTTTCTATTGCTGTTGAGATTTTCTCACCTCTGAGGGCTTAAGAATTTGGACCTTGACGGGCGGTGGTGGCGCACGCCTTTAATCCCAGCACTCAGGAGGCAGAGCCAGGCGGATCTCTGTGAGTTCGAGGCCAGCCTGGGCTACAGAGTGAGTTCCAGGAAAGGCGCAAAGCTACACAGAGAAACCCTGTCTTGAAAAAAAAAAAAAAGAAAGAAAGAAAAGAATTTGGACCTCGCTGTTTGCCTGGACTCCCCGATCTGTAGCCAGGGTTGATCTTGGGCCTCATTCTGTCAAAGTTAAGCCAAGGTCCCACCTTTCTAAGCTTCCTAGCTTGGGTTACAAACCAAAGCTGACCTGACTTTAACTTCTTCCGTCCTGAGGCTCACAGAATGGGTGTGTGACCTTCCCTCCTCCTCTAAAGAAAGGGCACTTCCTGTAGACTGCTCAGCTATCTCTAGAGCTGCAGCTGCTTTCTCTAGCCTCTTCTTTCCTGTCAGCCACTCTAGCTGGGTTAGAGCAGAACGCAACTACTTCTAATTTGTACTTGTTAAACATCTGAGTTTGTTTCCAAGACACAACTGCAGCTAGTACCTGATAATTTGGTGAGGAACCATTTCAGAGTAAATTTTACTGTTAATGGTTTTGAGCATTTTGTTTTTTGTTTTTTAAGCTAAAATATAATAAAGGTTAAAACATGAGAATGTGTCAGATAACTAAGAACTGAAAAGGAGCCAGGTGAGGAGGCACACTCCTTTGAGGCCAACACTCGGGAAGCAGAAGCAGAGGCAGGCAGATCTCTGTGACTTCCAGGCTAACAGTTCTGTGGTGAATTCTGTCGCAAAGAGTAAGTAAGAGTGACACAGGATCAACTAAATAAACTAAGGAACTAAGTTTTACTATTGCCCTCCCCTCACATGCCCCTATCTGTGCTCCTCCCAGTAATCCTTTACTCAAAAGAACTGGAGAAAATGTGTAATTTTTCATCTTTATTGCTCTTATATCAAGAAAGGCAATTAAATATATAATTAAAATCTAAACACAGTTTAGCTTCTGTGTTTTATTTAATTTAGCTTTTGCACCTGACTTAGCAGATAAGTACCTCTGGTTTCTAGGGAACCTGAAAGGTTCAACTGTTTTCACTACACATCCTATCAGGGAAGAGGTAGCCCCTTTCCAGTGCGGCTTGTCCCTTAGTAATCTGGCTTTAGGAAAAATATGTCCAAAGGTTTGGCTCAACAGACTTCAGAAATCTGGAGAACAATCTTACAAAAAGGTGTGCTGGCCCAGACTACGGTCAATTTCAACTTATGACTTCCTTTTCCAGTGGCCTAGAAAGGTATGAGCAATGCAGAGCTATGAGTTAGTTCTGGGTATAAGCTACCACCACATAAATTGCAAATTCCCCACCAACTTTAACAATTATAGTTTGACTGCAAACAGATCAGAAGAGAACTGAGCCAAAAGAAACTTTAGGTGGATTACCTAAGGATCACTGACAGAGAAATTTATTCTAGAACCAGTTTGGTCTTGTTTATCAATCCCTAAAGAAAAACTTACTTTACTACAGACTACTAGAAATGCCAACAACTGAGCACCATCACCCATGGCCAGACTGACTAGTTCACGTGAGTAGCAAGTGCCACTAACTAGTTAAATGGGTAAAAAGTACTACTGACTAGTTACATGGGTAGGAAGTGTCACTGACTAGTTCACATGGGTAGCAAGTGGAAAGTGATGTGACTAGAAAGGATTCTGAAAATTATAGGCTCCAGCCCTTTCACTTCACAAATAAAACTCTTTAATGAATTAAAGAGCCTTTGTAAGGCTGACAAGGAATGTTTGTGCTTTACCAACAGAACTAGTCCCACCAGGAAGTAAACAGCTCCTCTCATCTACCTATCAGAACTGTGGCTCTCTGCCTCCCAGTCCCTAGCTGCTTCCTTCTCACAGGCCACCACTAACATAAAAATGAATTCACCTCCAAGTATTTTCTCTGCTTACTTTAGCATTTTTCCTGATGCTTCCATATGGGCAAGTACATGTTACAAGTCTCCCTTTACCTACAAGTTTCACCTTCAAGTTTCAGTCATTCATAATTCCATGAAATAAAAAATATTAAACAAAAATGTCCAGAATTAAGAACTGATAAGCTAGGACAGGCAGTGGTGGCACATGCCTTTAATCTCAGCACCAGGAAAGTAGAGCAGGAAGATCTCTCTGAGTTCAAGGCAAACCTGCTCTTCAAAATGAGTTCCAGGACAGACAGGGCTACATAGTGAGACCCTGTGTCGTCCCGTCCCGTCCCGTCGTCCCGTCCCCCCCCCCCCCCCCCCGCCCCAAAAGTAGCAATAAGCTTTAAATTGCACGCCATTCTGAGTAGCACAGTAAAATCTTATGTCAGCACATGCCAATCTATCCAGGTATGAGTCTAATGTGTCCAGGTGGTACAGGCTACTATTTTATTTTATTATTACTTGTTATTAGTAATTTATGCTGTGCCCAATTTAAAAACTGAACTTACTTTCCTAAGTATGTGTGTTCAGAAATAACACAGTATGCACAGGTTCAGGATTACCAGTGGTGGAAGGCATCTAGCCACAGGTTATAGCCTTCTGAACCCATCTCCCAGGTGGTTCACACCTCAATTCACCAGGTAAGACCTCTGCTCGGCTCAAAGCCTCCTTCCCAACTAATTTCTGAAAGCACTGAAGGTCTCCTTGCACCCCAAGCCTAATATAAGTATAGTATGTAAACGGTACAGTAACAACCAAGGCTGAGACCATGCCCAAAGACAAGGGGGAAGAGTGACAGTTGTCCACTGCTATGGCTCCATCACATGCATGGCTAGCACAGGCTGGTGTTCAATACATAGGTTACTGAAGAGATGTACCTATTGCCATAAATCTCTAAGTAATGAATCATTGTGTGAAACAAAACCAAATATATCAAATTTGTGGCACTTTGAGAAGCAATCTGAGAAGCAATCCAGATGCTCAATGTCTGCACTGCTATAGCATCCAAATGACTTTTGAGACAGCAGACAAAATGTTAGAAAATTATAGCTCTGGAAAGCCCTAACCTAGGATCTGTACTCCTCCCTTCTAAAAGCCCTGCATCAATCACTGGCCAAAACCTCCTGGCCATCACCCCAGCACTGCTCCGTCATCCAACAAATAAGGCCACAGCTTGACCCAGAGCCTCCCAATGGCGGTTGTCCTGTCTCCTGTCCTCTCTTCTTGCCCCTCTACGATCCAGACTCCAAGACTCAGGATTCCAACATCAAAGGATGCCTCATGTTCCTCCACATCTGGCACTGCCCACTATACAGTTCTAGCACTCAAGAAGTTAAGACAGGAGCATCATGAGTTTTGGCAAGACCTCAAAAATCACAACACTAAAGTAAGAGAAAAATAAAAACTACTTTTCTTCAATTCAAATGAAAGAACTATGAAAGAACGGTGAGACTCACCCCTTGCCCACACCTTATCGCTCACCTCACAACTCCCAAGTCTGTGTAACACACAGCTCAGCAGCACAATAATTCTCCTAAGAATGGCTAGTTACTGCTTGTGATTATTTCCTGACTCAATTCGGAAACCACTGGAACCCTCCTTTCACCTCAACACCCAGGGTATCAAGAGGCAGGCTTTCAAAGGTTTGCTGAGCAGAACATCACAGAAGCTAACAAAGCAGCTAGGCATATTCTTCTTCCTTCTCCTCCGCTACACAAAGAAACAAGAGCATAAAGGAAGCTAATGTACTAATCCAGCCTGCAGCATTTACTACTGCAGCCCCAACGACTAACTGTCAAACTCAAGAAAAGGGATATAATCACTTCTACAAACAAACGATCTATAAGATAGTTCCCCAGAGCAGATCCTTACCTGTAAAATGTTAGTGAAAAAGTCATGGTAGAACATGGGCCAATCTTGGCGTCCAATATCAACAATAACTTTGCAGAGTTTGTTCCGGATAAAGTAAGGTAAGGTTTTATGGTGAGCCAAGAGAAGTTTGGGCAAGCAGCTACGGATTTCCATCTTATCCTGAGATGGGACCCCAAGCCACATTTTATTGATCAGATTCTGAAAAACAAATACATATCCTTTAATGAGCTGTACACAAAACAACTTAATTCTATAGTTCGCTATAACATCACACACACACACACACACACACACACACACACTCCTCCAACAGTTTAGGACATTTAACAAAAAAGAAATACAAATACTGAAATCTTAGGACACAACAATCCTATCTCTAGGAAGACCTACTGAGTAACTAAAGATGTAGAGTTGTATGTACAAACTTGCTGTTACATCATTGTCTCCAACACGTCTTACTGGCCAACTGGCCACCAAATAGTGACAGTAACAATGTAATGTCCCAATATAAGTGAACAAGCCAGACATGACAGCACACACCTGTAATCCAATCACCTGGGAGACTGAGGCAGGAGGTGGCGAGTTTGAAGCTAGCTTGAGGTACATAATCAAGATGCTACTCTACAGTCCCAGCAGGGAGAGTGGGAAAGAGTCTGCTGTGAGCATGCACAGAAGACAGAACTGGGACAGGAGTTAGCATGACTGTGTCTGGGGTTGGAAGATGACGGCAGAACAACCACTCTCCTTACAAAACATTTAGTCATCTTTGTCTTTCCAATGATAAAAGAAAAAGGTAAGTCACCAAACATGACCTAACAGTACCAGAAAGCCAACCGCCTGCCCAATTTTTTTGGAACTATAGACAAAAAGTTGTCCCCAGACACTAGGCAACTAGACAGGGGTGCCAAGAGGGTGGGTCAAGCTACTGTTTCCCAGTCATCTGTACATTAAAGGGAAAGCCTGGTGCCGTGGTATACAATTTCACTATGGTTTTCAGGAATATGAAATGACCCAACATCTTACCTCAAAAACCGTTAAGCTGTACATCATCACATAGTCATTCCTTGTGCTGGACAGAAAATACAAGCAGAATCTCCAGGCTCCTACTTGCTGGGCAAAGTTATTAAGAAGCTCCTCTGGAAAAGTTAACAAAACAACTATAAAAATACATGAAATTAATACAAGACTAGACTGCCATCATTTTGAAAACATTCCTACCTTCCCATATAATACAAATGATGTCAACAAACAAGCACAAAACCCAGGTGAATAGATTATACAGTTAGTACTTACTCTTGACTCTGGGGGTACCATCAACACAGGCAGTGTACCCTGACATCTCAAGGCCACTGACTTTCCTAAAGATACCTTTTGAGAACAGAGACCTATTGCTCAAGCTCTTGTTTAAGCTCTATGTGGGACAGCAAGCCTATCCAAAATGTAAATGATGCCAACTAGACCCTACAAGCATAAGCTATACACACAATGTTCTAGCATTCTTCAGTGACATCCATACTGCCTGCACTCAGGCAACATGAAGGCTAGAGAATCAGGAAGAGAAAAGTAACAATCCCAGCAGCCATGTGGTGGTTTACCACTGTCTATAACTCCAGTTCCAGGGACTGGAACTTCCTCTGGCCTCCGTAGACACCAGGCATGAAAGTGTACACAGTGTATGGGTGAAAGCAAAACACCCATACACATAAAATAAAAATAAAGCCGGGCGGTGGTGGCGCACGCCTTTAATCCCAGCACTCGGGAGGCAGAGCCAGGCGGATCTCTGTGAGTTCGAGGCCAGCCTGGTCTCCAAAGCGAGTTCCAGGAAAGGCGCAAAGCTACACAGAGAAACCCTGTCTCGAAAAAAAAACCAAAAAAAAAAAAAAAAAAAAAAAAAAAAATCAAATATATTTTTAAGAATAATAAGATAAGATAAAATAATAATAAAGCTTAAAAATAATAAGACATAGCCAGGTGGTGGTGGTGCACGCCTTTAATCCTAGCACTCAGAAGGCAGAGGCCAGCAGATTTCTGTGGCCAGCCTGGTATACAAAGTGAGTTCCAGGACAGCCAGAGCTGTTACACAGAGAAACCCTGTCTTGAAAAAACAAAATAATAATGATGATGATGATGATAACACAAAATACATAAATAAGTAAAAGTCAAAAGTAAGAACCCTAAGAGTTACCAGAGTAGCTCTGACTGTACATCCAGTCACTTAAAACTGGCTCTTCTCGCCGGGCGGTGGTGCTCGCCTTTAATCCCAGTACTCAGGAGGCAGAGCCAGGCAGATCTTTGTGAGTTCGAGGCTAGCCTGCTCTACAGTGCGAGATCAAGGACAGGCACCAAAACTACAGAGAAACCCTGTCTCGAAAAACCAAAAGAAAAAAAAAAAAAAAAGAAGAAAGAAAAATGGCTCTTCTCCTCTCAGACCACTGACAGCATAAGCCAAAAGTCACAATTAATAAGCTACCCACCCCTATTAGTCTAGCTACCCACCATCACCTGTAGGCACAATGCTTGTTAACCACCTTGATCTAGGCACTAGCCATGGACCCTGCCAGCAAGCCTGGCCTATGCAAGGTCTCCATGAAGACACTGCAGTTCTCTGCCTGCCTTGCAACCCTAACTAAGCGCATCAAAGCAGCCTCACTAGCCATTCTACAGAAGGGCTACAAAAATGGTTCAGCACTGGCTGCTCTTGGAGAAGACCTAGGTTCAATCCCCAGCACCCACATAGCAGCTCATAACTTTCTACAACTCCAGTTCCAGGGGCTCCCATACCCACTTCTAACTTCCTCCAGGCACATAGTACACAGACATATGTGCAGGCAAAACTCATAGACATAAAATAAAAATAATTTTCTTAAATCTTAAAAATTCTGTGAAAGATGATGGCATGTCCTGATAATTAAACAAAAGGGTTTTTTTGTTTTTGTTTTGTTTTGTTTTGTTTTTTTATGTAACACAGACACAAGCAAACCAGATAATGTGAGTTATAGCTGGAAATGACATGCTGGGCTCAAGCCAGCTGATCCCTAAACCTGGTCAGAGCCAACCACTGCTATATATACTGCTCCCATTCCTCCACTGTTAAAAGACAGCTGATCCCTAAGCCTGGTCACAGCCAACCACTGCTGTATATACTGCTCCCATTCCTCCACTGTTAAAAGACAGCTGGTCTCATGCGTCCCCCCTACCTACTCTATTAACCTCTCGAGCACTGTAATTTGTCTGGCAGGCAGGTGGGTAGAAGGGCCTTAATAAGACATGGCTTCCGCCGGGCGGTGGTGGCGCACGCCTTTAATCCCAGCACTCGGGAGGCAGAGCCAGGCGGATCTCTGTGAGTTCGAGGCCAGCCTGGGCTATCAAGTGAGTTCCAGGAAAAGGCGCAAAGCTACACAGAGAAACCCTGTCTCGAAAAACCAAAAAAAAAAAGACATGGCTTCCTTCTGTTCCCTTACATCAACTGGCAAAGCCTGGAGTTTTTACGAAGACAACAACAACAAAAAAAAAGCAAACAACAGTTCCAGTCACACACTCAGATTAAGCCACAATGACCAGGTACAAAGATAAGCAAAAGACCAACCAACTGGTACAGAACAGTTCCAATTAGCCAGCATTTCAACTGAACGTCTGTAATATGTGTTGTTTTATGGACTCTCTGTGTTGCTAAGGATAGGGCCCATGCAAGGAAAGTGCTCTTCCACTAAGCTATACTCCTAGTCTGCATAAAAGTTCAATTCAGATATGAATATCTTATACAAGGTTCCACTTTCAACCCATGAATATGCAAATGTGAGCAACATTTAATGAGCAAATCAAAAATTCAAAGAAAAATCAAAGCCAGCGACAAGAGTTTGAAGAAATAAGAGTGGAAGATTATAGGAGACTAACAGAGGAAGATCTACCTTTTTTGGTAAAAATTTTATCTAGTATTTTCACTATAAATATAAAGTACTAGTACCATCAACTAACAAGGTGATCTCACACTGGGTCAGGAGGATAATCAGCATAGAGAACCAGAGTAGCAAGCAGGGTAGGTCTTCTAGGCAAACACTGTTCATCGCCCAGACTCAGCAACCATCAGTGGTCCTCTGTCTATTCTACTTCTCTACAATGTACTCTCTCAGAAAAGAAAGGTGCAGGCTATCGCGAGTACCAACTATCAGATGACACGATGCTTCAAGGAGGCTAGCAAAAAACAGGCTATAGCAAGATGTCCTAGGCACCCGTAAGAGTCTCCGCCCCAAGTGGACTTTGGATGACAGACAGGACCAGGAGGTTTAGCTGGCTAACATGAGTCACGCCAGTGGAGACAGAAATGGGCCTGTAGGGTTCTGAGTCAAAGACAGACCTTAAGGAAAGGTAAGCAACAAGTATGGTTACAGAGTACAGAGTAGTAAGAAAGCACCTTTCACTCAAATCCAAGGTTAAGAGAGGATCCAAAGGGGAACAGACTGCTTGAGCAGCACAGCGGGTCATGTCCCTGAGGCAGGACGTTGACGCTTGAATAAATTATTTCTTTCTAGTATGTTTGATTAACATAACTGTGTTAATGAACATAAAAAGTCAAACGTGGGTTCTCAAACATGCTGAGGCCCCGAGACAGCAAGTGATTACACCTACATGTTCTCTCTGTTACAGAGCCTTTATTCACGAAAACTGCAGAATGGGAAAGGCAACCAAGACAAAAAGGAAGAAAAGGCTGGAAGGCTCCAAAGGTAGACCAGGTAAGGGATTCAAAGACCACTGTCTCAGGCATTCATTCAGATACTTTCATAAGTTGTTCTTGTTTGAAATTAAGTGTTGTGGGCTTCTTACAACAACACTGCTAAGATTAGAAACAAAACAGAGGCTTTCCACTTGACCGAAAGGAAAGAAAACCAATCACTATGCCCTTGCAATTAGGTCTGCAGGCCCCACCTGCCACCAGTAGCACCAAAGCAAAGCCCAGAACTCAAGGGGCACATGCAGGTTTGACCAGCCAAGAGTATCAATTCCTTCTTCCCCAAATCTCACTTACCTATCTCACGTTTTCTTTCATTGGTTGTACAATCATGGAAAAATTCTGTCATCAGACTTTCCAGTGCCCTGAGGGAGGCTTCTTCAGATGCCTGACAAAAGAATTTGAGAAAACATCAATAAATCGCTTCTGCTTCCCAGTTCCTTCCAGGTACCATCTACAACAAGAGTAATTTACCTCCCAAACACCTTGGTTCAATATTCTTCAAATGCACAATTCAAGCCAGAAAAACAAGAGGATTTTCCTTCTGGCTTAAAACCCAGTTTTAGTTATCTACTACAAATGCATGCCAGGTAATTTTAATTATTTATGTTAAGAAAAAGAAAAACAATTCAAAATACAACTGGAGAAAGATGCTGAGAGCAAATTAACAGTCCTGGCCCTGCCTGAATAGGCAGAGCAAACAGATTCTGGGAGGCTTAGAGACCCTACATACACAATCTGGTTAATTAGCCAGATGTTAATTTAATACAGAGGACTCTTGGGGTTTCTGAAGATGCTTCAGAAGTCCTACATACAGTCAGCTTTCAATCTCACATGAGGAGCCAATAAAGATGAATGTGCAGCTGAAAACAAAGCTTGACACACACTCCAAGTTCAACCTACACCGATTAGCAGAGAACAGACTGAGTAGAGATGCCCAGGGTAAAAGGTGAGGCCCTTGAGCCGGGCCATGGTGGCACTCGCCTTTAATCCCAGCAGTAGGGAGGCAGAGGCAGGTGGATCTCTTCAGTTCAAGGCCAGCCTAGTTTAACCCTGGCTGAAAACGTGTCTAAAAAGGTGAGAGAGACACAGCGAGAGAGAGACAGAGACAGAGACCAACCGACCGACCGACCCTGAGAACAAGGGAACCCTCTTGCACATGGATCTCCCAACTCCACTTCCTTTTCATTCAGCAGAACAGCTGTAGTCAGGGGCACGTGCCTGTGGTCTCAGCACTCAGGAGGATGAGGCAGGAAGATAACAAGCTCTAGGCCAACCCTGATTACACACCCAGTCTCATAAGAAGTTTTAAGTATTAATAGTAACAAAAACCACTTGAGCAAAAACCAGCCTGTGAGCAAAAAGGTGAGTATCTGCAGAGCATGACTGAACCATCATGGGCATTATCTACCTGGAAACTCCTGTTATTTTAGTTAGTTCTTAATTCCTTTCCTACTTGCTTCCCTTCCCCAAAGCTCCTCCTTTACCCCCAAGAGCATTTTAAGACAACAGGCTCTCATTTTAACATGTTTTGTGTTTAACTGCGAAAGGTCTGAAGACCTCCAGCCAATCCTCTACTCCTGTGGAAACTGAGGAACTTCAACCATCTCCCTTAATGAGCCATTTACAAGTACAGCACCATCTACACCACCAACACTGGCCATGCTCAGGCAGTGCCAGGCATGGGCTGTGCCTCCCATACTGCTGGCACAGTAGGCTATGAGATGACAAATGAACTGGCCTGCTGAGTGATGAATTCCTCCCCAATAGTATTAGCACTTGTGACTCAAAGAGAAGCTGTTGTCTGAACTGTATAGCTTGCAAGCCAACCCAGTCTATAAAAATTACCAATATGCCAGGTGAATAGTATACATCCAGCTACTTGACAAGCTAAGGCAGGAGGATCTTTGATCCCAGTAGTTTGGAGACAATATAGACACTGTCTTGGTATGTTTCATTAATCAAATTTGGTATGTCATTTCATTTGAGAGAGGGAGATATTTCTATTTAAATTAAAACTACCACCAGGCCTTGGTACAAGTTTATCACTCATGCTACTCAGGAGGTTAAGACAGGAGGATAAGAAATTCAAGGCAACCTAGTGAGACCTTATCTCAAAATTAAGTAAGGGCTGGGGACACACCTCAATTGGTAGAGTCCTTGCCTAGCATGCATGAATCCCTAGATTTGATATCCAACACCACACACACACACAGTGGCATATGCCTATTGTCCCAGCAGTCAGGGAAACTGTAGAGACCCATAGAGGTTTCCTAGTGAGAACTTACTCAGGGTCCAAGAATCTGAGCTTGCTTTACCCAGCAGGGCTGCATAAGGGGATGATTTGACCACAGGTGTGGTTACCAGGTGTTTGGAAGGGTCTACACTTGGCTGGACAGTGTCCTTTGATCTAGCAAGGGGAAGGTCTTTTGCCCCGCCCCTTGGCGTTGTTATAAAAAGCCCTTTTGACTAAATGGAAAAGGCTGTTGGGTATTCACCCAGGTCCTCCCAAAGCTATCCTGTGTTTCTGTCTTTCTCCTCTTCGCTATCTTTCTATGTAATATTTTCTTATCCCTCTCTCCTCCTCATAAGAACCCTTGAAAAGGTGGGAGCTGGCCTCCCACAGAAGATGAAGGCAGAAGAAAATTCAAAGTCATCCTCAGCTACAAAGTTTGAAGCCAGACTCAGGACTGGAGAGAGGGTTCAATGGTTAAAAGCACATACTGCTCTTGCAGAGGACCCAAGTTAAGTTCCCAGCACCCCCGCTGGGTCACTCACAACTACCCCTAGCTACAGTGACATGGGGATCTGACACCTGCGACCTCCTCAGGCACCTTTACACACTGCACACACACATAAGTTAAAAATGAAAAAAAAAAAAAAAAATACATCTTTGAAGCCAGCCTGGCCAGTATGCAATTGTCTCCAAACAAACAATACCAAAAATAAAATAATAATATAAAACAAAAAATAAATAAATAAAAAGTAAAAGGGCTAGGACTAGACATGGTGATGCACACGTTTAATCCCAGTACTCAGGAGGCTGAGAGGCTGAGGCAGGCCAATCTCTGGGTTTTAGGCCAGCCCGGTCTACAGAGTTCCAGGACAGCCAGGCTAATAATGGCACGAGGCATGGGGCATGGGGAGTGGGGGGGGGGGGATGGGGACAAAACGCAGCATGGCAAAAAAATAAAATTTACAGGCTGTAGGAAAATTTAGAGAAATAAAGACATTAGAAAGTATTAAATAACTCAATGCCCAAAAAATAAGTAGGGGGGGGGGAGGGGGAAAGAAGGGGAGGGGAGGAGAGGGGGGATGGGGGAGAGGGAGAGAGGGAGAGAGGAAGAGAGAAAGGAGAGTAATCTTGCACGAATCTTAAACGGTCTTACAATAAAAACTCGGAGCCAGATATTGGGTAAATGTGGAAAGATCAGAGAGACAAAGGAACAAGCTACTAGAGACACTTCTCACCACTACCGGGTCCTCAGGCCGAATGGAAGGTGAGATCCTGTCTCCACACATCCTCTAGCTGAAAGTCCTCAGCCGAAAGGCGCTTGTTCCCGTCTCCTCACACCTTATATACCTTTCTCTGCCCAGTCATTTCACTTCCTTCCTAGTGCTGGGATTAAAGGCGTGTGTGCTTCCCAAATACTGCTAGCAAAGGTATGAGATCTCAAGTGCTGGGATTAAAGGTGTGTGCTACCACTCTCTGGTTGTTTCTCTCCTAGACTGAATCAATCTCATGTAGTCCAGGGTGGCTTTGAACTCACAGAGACAGATCCCTGCCTCCCGAGTGCTGGGATTAAAGGCGTGTGCCACCCCTGTCTGGCCTCTGTGTTTAATCTAGTGCTGGTTCTGTCCTCTGCTCCTCAGGCACGCTTTCTTTGATACACAGTACATCACCACACAGAAAGGAGACCATGAAAAGGGAAGATGAGAGTTCAAGGAAAGAGGAGAGAAGTGGGGCCTCAAGAAACTCCTGAGTCACACACTCCAAGCCCAAGCAGAGCATCAGACATTGCCATGCTGGTGTCTAAGTTAAATGATCACTTACAGCCTCTCCCAAGAATCCACTGCCAGTCAACCTACCCAGCACACTCCACCCCAACCCAAGAAGCTAAGGTGCAAACTGAGAAGCTCCAGCAACTGCAAAGACCAATGGACACGTGGCAGCTCCAGGAGACAGTGCTAGAACCAGCCGAGCACATCACCAGACACAAGCCCAAATACCAGGCTGTTTACTGTGGTACTGTGTTCCCCAAAATATTGTGCATGCTAATAAATTTATCTGGGGTCAGAGACAGAAAAACCACAATATTAAACATAAAAGATAGGCAGTGGTAGGACACGCCTTTAATCCTAGCATTCCAGAGGCAGAGATCCATGTGTTCAAGGAAACAGACAGGCATGGTGACTCATCACGCCCTTAATCCCAGAAAGCGAGCCTTTAATCCCAGGGAGTGGTGGAAGAAAGCAGAAAGGTATATAAGGTGTGAGGACCAGAAACTAGCAGCTTTTGGCTGGTTAAGCATTTGGCTGGTTAAGCTTCAGGCTTTCGAGCAGCAGTTCAGCTGAGAGCAATTGGGATGAGGACACAGAGGCTTCCAGT